GGCTTCCTGGAATGTGTACTCAGAAACAGCAGGGGAGAGGGAAGCAGGAGACGACGGGGTGTGACACAGCTGCAGCCCAGGAGCTGGCCTGGCCCCTCAGAGGTCCCATCAAGGCATGGTGCTCAGAGCTTTGCGTGCCAGCCTGGCCAGTCTGGATGAGGGCTGCTCTAGTCAGGGCTGTGAACTTACACAAGACAGTTGTCTTGAGCTGAGGGAAATCAGCCACCAACACTCCCAGCAGCCTGGAGAAGGAGTGGCTGGTTGAGGAGCATCTAGGTGTCACCTCTGAGCAGCTACTACATCTACTTCCTCAAAGAGCAGGATTTTCAGAATGTCTCGCTAGACAAAGCCTCCTCTACGCTGAATCCATGAGACTTGCTCATAGTGTTTCAGAAAGACTAAAAACAAAGGGACCGGCAGTGGAATACCAGGCACGGACAAACAGCAGGGCCAGGGAGTAGAATCCAGGCCATCTGCATGGCCTCTGCTGTCCAAGGGGGTGGAGTCACCTTGTCACTGCTGGGCAGGGGTGAGAGCCTTGGCTTGCCACTGGGCCCTGCTCTGACCAGCACAGAATGAAAGTCTTTTCCACATAGAGGTAGAAATGGAGGTCGAGGCTCTCCACCTGGTCTGCACCTGACATGGGTGTGCAGGTGAAGGCCTCACTGTGGTCCAGAGCTGATGAGCATCCCAGTGCCCACCTGTCCTCTCTGACATGCTCCTGGTGAGGGGAGGAAGGAGGGCAGGAGTGCTGGCGGAGGGTGGGACAAAGGATCCTCACTCCACCTTTGCAGGCTGGAGAGGAGTTGGGCCCTGTGTTCCCATGATGTTTGGCTGGAAGACACTTTCTGCCTAACAGTTTGCTGTCTTGCTAGCTGGCCCCTTTGCTGGTTCTTTGGATAGAAAAAGACAGCCTTCCCTTGAGCTTCTCTTGGTCTGCACTCTTGGTGCTCCCGATCACAGGCCTAACCCTGTTTTGTGCCTTTTGATCCATGGGGCAGGAATGCTGCACAGCTGGTTTTCAAACCTTTATTATCATTATTATTATTATTATTAAGAACCTAAGAACTACTTCAAGTGTTATTATTATTATTATTATTATTATTATTATTATTATTATTATTTTATTCCTAAAAACCACTTCAAGTGTTTTAGATAGAGCCGCTTCCCAGAGGAATTCATATTCAGCTTTGTTTGGACTTTTACTTAGTTACTTTAAAAAATGTTAGTTCTTTCATTGTCAGTCCATTCCACACTAGGAATTTGTTAAAAGTCATAAAATGCTGGGTATTCCTAGCTATTAGCCTTTACTTCCTCCACACACTGTGGATAGGCAGTCAATGGGCAGATGAACTGTGGAGAGTAGAAACTCTAGCAGCCCCCAGTTACCCAGGAAAACCCCTCAATTCCTTTAAAGTTCATGAATGAAACAGGTATGAAAATCACTGTTTTATATGACTGAAGATGAACTTCCTCAGGGACAAATAATGAATTTGATTAAAAAATGTCATTTTCACCAAATTGGCCACTAGTTATATTCCATCAATTTCTATGTGTGAGAACATCATCAAAATGTATATTGGCCTCGTATTTTTCTGAGGCAGTTTCTGACTGAGGACACGTCTGTAATAAAACTGAGATGCCCCCCCTTAGAGGCAACACCTCTTTGGGTCACTTATCAGATTTTCATTTCTCAGGACCTCAGCGTTAGCTCCCAGATCCCACTGGGAACTGCCAGTCTCCCTGAGGGACCGGATGACTGTAGTCTCAGCTCAGGCATGCTGTTTATCCACAAAGGCCAAAATAATTTCTTGGAGGTGGGGACTTTCTTTTCTTTTTTTTTCTTTTTTGTTTGGTACTGGGGAGTGAATTCAGGGTTACTCAATCACTGAGCCACATCCCCAGCCCTATTTTATATTTTATTTAGAGACAGGGTCTCACTGAGTTGCTTAGCACCTTGCTATTGCTGAGGCTGGCTTTGAACTTGTGATTCCCCTGTCTCAGCCTCCTGAACCGCTGGGATTATAGGCATGCACCACTGCACCTGGCTCATACTTTAAATATTACAATTGAATATTTCTTGAGAAGTGAAAGAAAAAAAATAAATCATCTGACTGTGTCTTTCAATACAACTTTGAAGGTAGTGAGTCTAGGCAGGTCTCTTCCAGTCAAGAGAAATAGATTAAAGTGGGTGCTGTCTCCTTTAACAGGGGATGCTGGGATATGCTTGTCTTTCCTTGTTTGCTTTTAAATTTCTTGTGTACTTTTCAAATTTTCCAGATGCTTTTGCAATCTGAGAACCAGACTGAGAACATGAGCATGTGGGCTCTTGGCAGCTCAGAGAGCGGACGCTGTAGTTCTTGATTTATGCACTGGCCTATCTTTGTAAGCTGCAACCTAAACCCCACAAAGCTCCACCTTGTTCCCTTTGAAACAGGACAATTAAAGCTTGTTTGGTGAATCAATGGCATGTGTGATTCAACTGTCCTGTATTAGACAGGAAAATGAGAAAAATGAGCAGTGACTTCCTGACAGGTGCTGGGTTTCTTTTTCATAAGACTCTTGGTGAGATGTGAAAATAATTCTCACACCACAAGTGGGATAGAAGCAGGGATCCATCCACCTATTAGCATCTGAATAATAAGGAACCAAACTGAAGACATAATCTTTAAATTGGCCATGGGGTGGGAGACAACCCTGCTTTTGATAATAATTTGTACACTTTAAGACAACAGTGAAGAATCAGAAAATCAGCATTTTGAGCCTACAAAGAGTAATGCCTTAGAAGTTCGGTAACCAGAGAAGGTTTATTTAGTGACACACCTCCGAGAAGCAATCTCTTCTGTTTCTTTCACCTGTCTCTACGTAGAGAATGTCTGATTTGTCAAACACTGCTTCACTGAAGGAAATGGACCTTCCTTCCTACTTTCTAACAGATTTACATGAAAGCTGCAGACATCACACCAGGGTCTTGCTCTGAGCAGCTGCTCTGTGGATCTCCAGTGGCCCGACCACTGGGAAGTGCTCAGTCTGCTTTTCCTTGGCCTCAGCGAGGCCTGTACCCCTCCTACTCCGCCCTGCACAGCTCTGGGAGCAGCGAGAGGAAGAGTCCCCGTCTCTGCACACAGCAATCTCACACTTCAGATAGATCACGTCGTAGCTGTCAAGAAAGCTGAAGGCGTTGAATTTGAACTGGGCCACATTCTTCTGGTGGGATGGGAGGTTGGCAAAGCTTTTGTCTTTGATGCACCTGGTGGGAAGAAAAACCCCAAGCCAAGATATTAATCTCAAGTATAGTGTGAAATTGCTCTAAACCACAGACCTCTGAAATCCAGATGGAGTCTTTCTACTACCCACTCCAAAGAAATGACTACACTGTGTTTTAACACTACTAGGAATGGAAAGTCACTATACCTAGCCACAAAATAAACGCAGTGAAAACAAAGTAATTACATACTAGCTACAACTCTTGCCTTCAGAAGGATTAGTCTATTTTGTCCAAAAGGAAGCTTATAAGTGGGTTGAATTATTTGAAGATTATTTAATTTTATTTTCAAATCTTAGGGCAGCCACTGAAAAAGTGAAGGAAAGAAGTATAGACAACACATCAAAAGGAGCTAAAATGGAATCACAGAAAATGCTCAATTAAAACCAGAGAAAGCACCGAAAGGAAGGGTGGGGGGGAGAAACAAAGAACAAATACAATGCATAGATGTTTGATTTTAATTTAACTCTCTCAGCAACATGAATGGTCCAGATATGCCAATTTAAAGACAGAGTAGATAAAAAAGAGTAGATTTAAAAAACAACAACAACAACAACAACAAAGATTGAGCTAGAGTTACACATTGTCTCCAAGAAACCCACTTTAAATACAAAGACAGACAAAAGTCCAGGGATGGAGAACGATACTTCATGTGAACACTAATCAAACAAAAGCTGGGGCAGCTGGGTCAATTTTCAATAGAACAAACTTCTGAGACAGGATAATTATCAGGGACAAAGAGGGACATTATATAACATAATCAACCCTCCAAGAAGATAATCTTTGATGAAGATAACCAAGATAAGGATTAGTCCTTAATCCAATTCACAAACCTCAACGTACACCCTCCCTACAGTGGAACATCAAAATACACAGGCAAACTGACAGAACCACAAAGAGAAACTGACAGACTTGCCACCACAGCTGGACACTTCAATATCCTTCTATCAGTGATTGGCAGGCCCAGCAGGCACAAAACCAGAAAGGATGTAGATGGCCTAGGGCACCTTATTAATGCACCCGAGCGAACTGGCGTTTCTAGAACACTCCGTCCAACAAAAGCAGAATACACATTCTCCTCAAGCCCACGTGGAATTTCATCCAGAAAGACCACATTCTGGGCCCTAAGAAGCATCTTAACAAATTGAAAAGAATAAAGATCACACAAGATACATTCTCAGATTACAATAAAATTACACTAGAAATCAATGACAGAAATATTGCTGGAAAAAAATTCCCCCATATAGAGAAAGTAGACCACACACTTTTAAGCAACCCATGGGGCGGTCTCAAGCGATATTTAAAAATATTTTGAACTAAGTGAAAATGAATACCCCACATCAAAATTTGTAGGAGATAGCTAAGATGGTGCTTGAGAGGGCGGTTCACAACATTCAAAATACATAGATTAGAAAAGAAGAAATCAATCATCTCAGTTTCAAAATACTAGAGAAAGAAGAGCAAATTGAACATAAAGAAGAAAGAAAATGTGTTGGTTGTTAGATTCTGGCACCAAACGGAACCTCTTGCCCTAATACATTCATAGGGAGGATTGACGGGGAGGGATTCTTCACTCTGGGACTCAGGGCAGGTTAGTGCCACTGCGTGCACCTCCTGGGCCTGTGCTCACACCACCTTGGCAGGTGCTGTCTTGCCCCTCTCTTGGCCTTTGGAGGAGCTGCAGTGCTTCTCATGGGCTTTAGACCGCTGCAGCTTTCACCATGCTAACGGTGCTGTTGAGTCAGCGATAAGGTTTCGGTGGCAACTGCCCATCCATTAACATTTTGTCCCTGTTAGGGGACAGGGGAGCTAGAAAGGCAGACCATTTGCCTAAGTTCTAATTTGGAAAGTCACTTGGTTAGCCAAAGGAGCCAGAGCAATCTCACTAGAATAACTAAGCTTAGTTTGGAAAACCCGTCAGCCCATCAGTATTGGTCAAATGCCTCAAAGGGGATCATGAGTGGGAGTCTTAACCATAAAACCAGAAAGGAAGGGAGGCTTAGGCCTGAAAGGGTGGAGCAGAGCAGCAGGGGTCTGTCCAGGAGTGCTTGGCGTGTCAAGGGAGGTTGTTCAGGCTGCCTGTTACTATATCCCCCACTGGGATCCGGGGCTAGGAGGACCCCCTACTCAGCCTCTGGTGAGGACCCTGGCACAATGCTCCAGGTTAGGACATGCAGATCAGAGGCCACAGGTTCCTAAAGGAATGCCGTGTGGCTATTACAGTCAACAAGGAAGGGCTTCCATTTTCCTTACCCCTTCTGGATCAAATCATACTTGATGGTGGTGAAATCGTGGGGATCTGGAGAAGCCACACAAGTATCCACCAAGACCCTCAGGCTGGGGTCGGCGCTATGCAGGGTGGCCTGGAGGAAGACCTCTTTCCTCTGGCTGGCGGAGTATGGCACCATGCCCCCCATAGGCTGGGAGCCGGGAGACTGGATAAATGAAATGGACACATCGTAGCCAGCACCCTCTGTCTGGTCACCAGCTCCATGAGCCATTTCAACTGCGGACGGACTGTTCACCTTGCAGGTGAATTTCACCTGGGGCACCTTGTGCCGCACCACCACTCGGCCCGAGTGGCCCCATATCCGGCCTCTGATGGAGTTGGAGTAGCTGAGGGAGCCGAGGTGTTCCTGTGAGGACAAGAGGGGAGCTGGTGGCCAGTGCTCCTGGCTCCCTGACCAGCACCTGCCCGAGACCTCTCCTCCCTCTCCCGATGGGCACCGGCTCATTGATGTGCTGGAGGGCACTCCTGGACCTCTGGGGAGCTCAATGCCAGGAGGGGATAACACAGTGTGTGGGTGCTGTGGGAGCTCCCGGTGGGCGGGAACGCCTTCTCTCTGAGGGCCAAGCTGTGCCCTAGGAGCTGGCTGTCAAGCCCATGATGGCAGCCCACAGCTTGCTCTTTCTCGAGTCCCTGAACATGCTCCACTCTCTCAGCCACCCCATGCTGTGGCTCGTGTTTCCTGCCTACCCTTGAGCCCCAGACCAGTCTGGCTTCAGGTGAGCTTCAGGCCTGACCCTGCAGCCGTTGGCCCCAGCCTTGCTCCTGCAACTCCAATGTGACCTGCGGAGGACAAGGGGATGCGACAGCAGTCCCTGCCTCTCGCTGCCTCCTTCCTGTTCCCTGCATGGAGGTCTAGAGGCTCAGCTTGTGCAGGGCCTGTGGCTTAGGAAGCTATAGCATCAGGACTCAGATCCTGGACTCACTGCCTCGGGGCCCTTCCCTCTCTGCCAGCTGAGGCCAGTGCTTCTCAACCTTTTCTCCATTATGGTCTTCGGGAGGAGTTTTCTAGACCCCTTCTTTCCTACTCATCCTGCCCTCTTTCTGGCCCCCATAATATGACAAATATATCATTGGTGTAATGCTCGTGTTTTATCCATAAAGGAAGATTTTATTGCTTTTGCTCCTAAGAACCAACATCTAGCTCTCCTCCCCCACAAGGGGTAGGACTGCCCTCCTTGAGAACGTACAGCTTAAAACAAAAGCCAAACTCCTTGGCCACATGGCCCTGTGCCCTGCTAATCTGCCCCTGGACTCGGGCCCTGAGTCTCTTCCTCACCCACCCACAACCAGCTTGCGGCTGCCCCACCCTGCTCTAGCCCAGCCTGGCACGCCTCTCCTGCGCCTACCTGGCCGATCCACCTCGCCACTCAGCCGTGGCTCCTCAGCCACCACTGTTTAAAGTGGTATCCCTTCCGCCCCATGCCACGCCCCAGTGGCAGTCCTTGTTTGATGACCCTCTTTCCCCTTTTCACTACTCAAAAGACTGGTTCAGGGCTCAGCTCTGTTTCCTTGAACAGAAAAGCCATAGGGCAGGAACCGTCAGTTCTGCGGCTGCCATGTCCTTAGCACCTAGGTGACTGCTCAGCCACTGACTTTGAAATCAGACCCAGAACCTTCCTGTGACAATGTTTTCCTCAGGGTGCCCTTGGACTGGCCTCCATCCTATGTGGTTGCTGACTGCTGTGCTCTGAGGTCAGAACATGGGCTTTTCTAGGCCAGCTGGACCAGCCAGGGCCAGACAGGACATCCGTAAGATCCTCCCCATAGACCAGCAATGCCTGGGGCCACCCATCTTCCAGACATGTGGGGGCTTCCAGCATGGCCCTGGGGGCAGGAACCTCTGAAGTGGACCACAGAAATGAAAGGATAAGAATGACCATGGTCTGTCATTGAATCACCATTGATCTGTCGTAACAGATCAAATGTGAAGTATGGAATTCATGGCTCTTTTGGGTCATGTAAATCGCTTGACTGAATCTGACCTCCAACAATGTCAGGTGGGCTTTTTGTAGGTGTCTAAATGGGGATGCAGAAGAATAGAAGAACAGCATAAGGATCTTGCTTTGGAACATATTATATTGTTAATCATACCGAGAAAAAGGATGACACAGCTGTACATTTTTCCTACACCTTTAGTATGCTAGTTTCCTTAATTTCAATGTCATGGTTTTGTGAAATAAACAGGTAGTTAAGGGAAATTAAATAGGCATATAAACTTGCCATTCACAAATATTCTAGATGTCTGCTTTCCAGTGTGTGGAACATAGCCAGGTACTTGGTTTGCAACATAACAGTCAGACAAACAATCTGTCCTCCCTCATCTGCACATGGCAGGTGTGCCCTAATGCCCAGGCTAGAAGTCTGCTGTGGAAAATGCTTTGGCTTCAGAGCTGAGAGAATACATTGATCCACTTGTCCATCCACTCACGTATCTGTCACACATCAGCACTCAACACCCAAGTTCAGTGTCCTAAATTCCCCGGAGGACGGAAAGTTTCAGACAATGATTGAGCTTCCCTAGGTCTCCCAAAACTGAGAAATGAAGTCGTGGCTGAGTTTTTCCTCTGTCCTGACACCAGTGTTCAGCAGGTAGTTCAGGTTCCCAAGGTCCTCTCCTTGGTCTCCACCCTTAGAAGGGTACCACCTCCTTACGGATTTCTTACCTGCCGGACGGTGCCGCAGTGGCCGTATGGAATGTTGAAGATCAGGAAGCGCCCACTGACTCGTGGGCGACACAGATTATCATTTAAGTGGATGTCCCAGGAGGAGTAGCCCAGTCTCCGGAGATAGCCTCGGTCTATGACAGCTCGGAAGAGGTGGGGCAAGCAGAAGAGCTGGGCTGCAGAATGGGGAGATCTTGACCAAGAGAACCTGGTGCAATGGACTTGCAGGTCAGAGGTGTGGGTTGTTCATTTCTAAAAGTACCATGGGCGGTGCTCTGGGCAGGGGCTGGCTCAGTTCTCTTCCTCACCAGCCAGGACTTGACTCTCACTGACTTTATTTATATCCCCTGTGATGGCTTGCATCTGGAATGCCCCTCAGAGGCTTCAAGTTGTCTGGGGCTTTGGGGAACTGATGGGGTCCTTATCAGTGGATCGGCCCATTGATAGATGGATGAACTACTGAGAGGTGGTGGGCACGCCTGGCAGCAGGGCATGGTTGGAGGAAGTAAGTCGCTGGGAGTACCCTGGAAGAGTTATTTCTCATCCTCAGTCCCCTGACCCCCATCTCTCTCCTCCTCTGCCTCCTGGCCGCCATGAGCTGAGCAGCCTTCCTCTACCACACCTTTCTGCCATGACGTTCTGCCTCACGTCAGGCCCAGAGCAATGGAGCCTGCTGACCACAGACTGAAACTTCTGAAACCATGAGCCAAAAATAAATGTTTCCTCCTTTAAGTTGTTTTTCTCAGGCTATTTGTCATAACAATGAAAACTGACCAATACATTCCCCCTTGTCCAAAAAGGCTTTAAGGTTCAAATCACATCCACCTGGAATCCTGCTCACAGCACATTTCCCACGGGCCTTGAGATGGAGCTTTATCTAAGAATTTAAAGGACAGCTTGTTTTCTATAAGAGAAAAGCTGAGCCTGGACCTGTCTATCTGGGTGTTGGCGTGGAGATAAGCTGGAGGCAACCAGTGAGAGCCTGGGTGCTAAGGGGCTTCTCTGCCAACCTCCTCCAGCCCACAGTGGACAGAAACCTCAGAGGTCTCAGTGGAAACACAGGCGGGTCCCCCTCACAGCAGCGTTTTCCTCTCCATTCATCTCCCTCTGAGCTCCCCCTTTTAGTAGCCTCAGATCTTTGAAGGAGGATGACTTTACCATTGTCCTTGGGCACAGCAGAGTCCGCTGGACCTGGCAAGGAGAGATGAGGAGGGCGAATGTCAACAAAGCTGAAACACGCACAGAGGATGCCGTAGACAAGAAGTGTACTAAGTGGTCTCGTCTGATTTGGCTACTAAAGCTGGAGTACAATGGCATGAGAATAGTCCAGGGCCTGCAAGGGAGAGGAAGGCCCAGGCGTTCCTGATGGAGCTGGATCCTGGCACATGTGGACTAGAGTTGAGACTATGGGTGTCATCAACAGCAGGACTTGTTGGAGCAAGAAACAATAAGCCCAGGACTTCCAAGCTGATAAATACCACCATAGGCAGGAACTCTGGCTGGTGTCCCATTTCATGAACATGGCACACTTAGGACTTCAGTCTGAGAAGCAAAACAGGACAGTACCCTGGGCCCCCATCAGCCCAGGAAGCATGGCTGGCCTGATTCACTCAACCCCTTCAGACACTGTGGGCCCCAGACCACTAGTCCTTTGGACATTGTAGTCCATGAAAGGAAACCCACTGGGTATATAACACAAGAAGGAAAAAGGGATTGTTGTTGAGAGTGGGTCTCCTGACAGCACTAGGAATGGCTGGAACTACAAATAGGCACAATGAAAATGATCTAAAAGATGAGGACCCCATGCCCCCCGTGCAGACTCAAATTGCTTGGTTCTCTGCAGAATTAGTGTTGTCACCAGGGGGCTCTGATAGCTTTCCTACTTGGGCTCCACCTGTATGCAAAACCAGGTAGCACCTACATAAGGGTAAAGGCAATGGCAGCAATTCCTTTGATCATGTGTAAAAAACTAAGAATGGAACAGACAACATGAGATCAGATTCATGCAAATCTTAGAATTCCGTTTCTGTGAGGGACTTACAGGTCCACTTAGGGCTAACTGAGGACAAATGCAAGTGACCCCTACTCTATGCAGAAGGAAGTCATCCTGTGTAAGTCAGATGCCAAGGACGGTGCGGAGTGACAATAAAATATATTCCAGGAGCCGGCGTTGTGGCTCAGCACATGCGAGGTGCTGGGTTCAATCGTCAGTACCCCATAAAAATAAATAAATAAAATAAAGGTATTGTGTCCAACCACAACATAACTATATATTCCAGCAAAGGTATCAGCCAAATCTCAGATAAAAAGGACACAAGGGAATCTGGGTCCCTGTGGGTGTCTTTTTGACTTCTGAGGGTTAGGTCAGGATGCCGTGTTGCCCCAAAATTGCGCCCTTGGAGGCCTCCTCAGAGACTGAAAAAGGAAGGGGTCCAACTGCAGTCGGACAGAAGCAGGATCTGTGCCCTTCATGATTTTATGACTTTAACCCGTTCCTGGGATGCTGCGTTTGGACCTGGGCGTGATCAGGGGTGGTGCTGGGCAGAGCCTTGGGACACTCCCAGGCCCAGGACGCGCGAGGAGCCGTACCTGCGCAGAGCACGCCCGCGTCCTCGCTGTGCCTGCAGTTGTGTCGCGCCCAGCCCGCGTGGGCGCAGCGCTCCAGTGCGTCCTCGTGGCCCGTGCAGCGCACGTCGTCCATCAGAATGGGCCCGATGCCAGGGCCGAATCGGCCGCGGCCCGGGGCGCCCAGCGCTCGGCCGCAGCCCAGAAGGCGGCACACGACGCGGGCGTTCCTGATGTTCCAGTGGTCGTCGCACACCGTGCCCCACACGCCCTCGTGCCGCACCTCCAGGCGGCCCTCGCAGCGGCCCCGTCCGCCCGCCAGGCGCAGCGCACGGTCTGCGGGCAAGAGACACGGTCAGGAGCTGCACCTGGGCGTCCACCCTGCACACCTCTCAGGTGTCACTTGCAGCAGGAGATATAACACTGAAACAAGTTCTGTTTACGGTTTTGCTGTTCCTAGTTCTCTCTCTCCTCAAAGTCAAGTTAAATTACTCTCAAGGAGTGTCCTTTATGGGCAAGCCTAGTTTCTCAGACACTTAGAATTTAATCTTGTAACAAATCCACAAAACTCAAAAAGAAAAATAAAAGTACTATCAGGTAAAAATCAAACAACTCTCCTCCCAATCTTTACAAAACGGTTGTTGTAAATTAAAACTCTGCCCTAACTCATCCAACAAAATATGTCCTATGAAATTACTTTTACTGTTGATGAGTAAGAGCTTATATTTTAACTATAAAAACTATATCATATAACCTAGCTATTCCACCCCTCCAAATTTACTTAAGATGCATGAAAACATGTGCCCACAAAAAGATTTATACGTAGTAGAATTTTCCACACACATTAGCCTCAAACTAGAAACAACCCAAGGTACCCAGGCATGGGAGAATGAATAGATTGTGTATGCACATGGAATATTACTAAATAAAGAAAAGGATACATTAACAACACATGGGATGAATCTCAAAAACAATTTAAATAAATTAAGACACAACAGGGTTTCATATTATTTGGTTTCATTCCATAAGATTCTAAGGGAAAACCCCAAACTACAAAGCTAGAAAGCAGACCAGATGTTACCTGGTGAAGGAGTGAGGGAATTTCCCAGGGTGATGGAAATATTCTATGTCTTTTTTAATATTCTATATTTGCTCATGGTGGCAGTTACATTAGACCAAACTTGTAGATGTGTGTAATTGTATATAAATGATACTCTAAAAGAGTGATTTAAAGAGTAAAAACAATCAAAATAAAAACTTGTAGTTGTGTATTGCTTAACAATGAGGATACCTTCTGAGAAACATGTTGTTAGGTGACTTTGTCGTATAACATCATAGAGTGTACTTACAGAGGAAGATAGCTATGATATCTCAAGGCCATATAATCATATGGGACCACAGTCACATAGAGGATCACCATTGACTGAGATATTGTTATGGGGCACATGACTGTATTATGTTCATGTGCTATACTCACAGATGTCTAAAAATTTTTTTTGCATGAATTGGCTTGTAGTGGCTGTATTTTTAATTTTCTGCACTGTTTGCCATATGGAAGAAACTTAGGAAGTGTTAATAAATCCCACTCATCAGTTTTTCTGGTGGCAGTATACCAATCCAGGTCGACTGCTCTCTCCTGGCCTACCTGGCTGCTGCAATATTGGAAGCATGATACCCAGGCTTGTTTGAACTGGGACTGGGGGTGGGGGCGGGGTGCAGCTCAGTGGTGGAGCACTTGCTGGGCATGCTAGGGACCTGGGTTTGATTCCCGGCATGGGGTCAGAGGTATGAGTGTGAGTATACATCTTGAGTGAGGTCTTGGGAGGTAAGTTTTGGGTGGACCCATGACCCATCATGAGTGTGTCTATACATATACAAAGAACTAGCTCATAAACAAAATCTAAGTGCAAAAGAAATATAATCCAAACAGTATTATTAACGCTCTGAAACAAACAAAACTTACCAGGTAAAGGGACCATTTCCTCTTCAACTGAAATTGTAACTGTAAAAAAATAAAATTCTTAAAATGAGTCCCCTCAAAGTCACATATTTATAGTCAAAGTGGAAGAGGAATCAAATGTTTTCTGTAATTCGGGACAGCCATACTTTTGTTTAAGCCTCTACTTTTGTTTAAATGCAGAAATACCGTCCAGTAAGTTTTATTTTCTTGGCATCAAAATATAACAAGTTGTCTTACATGCTGTGTAGTCTTCAGAAAAAATGATTTATTCAATGGTCATAAAAGAAGCTTTATAAATATACTGAATTTTTGAAAAGAAGAATAATCTTGCAACAGGCCTATGATCATTACCAGATGATGGAGTCACTTTTGTTGAAATTGAATCTGTAGCTGCCAAAAAAAAAAAAAAATTCTAGTTGAAAATGAAGTATTAAAATTTAGCTTCATTGTGATTTTACACTGTAGACCACAAGTTTATGAAAACAAGCCTGTTCTCCTGAGTGGTATGCACTTATTTTGTGGATTTACCCATTCAGGATGAAATGATTGTGTATGAGAAGTTGGCCTTTTGTAAGATGGAGCAAGAATGATTCTCATTTGCAGCATCCACAACCTGTCAGGTAACCTATGTCTCTAAAGCTTACGATGACCAACCCAGGAGTGTTTTCCGATTTTAGAAAAGGAGGCTCAGAGGGACTGTATAACATGACAAGGTCATGCACAGTTCAAACCTGAGGGCCACAGGCAGATTCTAAGCACTCTGCTTTTCCTGAGCTTAGGATCTGGGAGTTGTTCACACCAGGCTCAGGGTGGTGACTCAGGGAGGAGGAGGGTTTGCGGCCACCACTCCTGTCCTCACCCTGAGGAAGGTCTCCTGTAGCAACAGGAAGTGATTTGGGCTGCCCAGCTTTCCTAAAGGCGTGGAAGAGCCACCTGATCTGCACCCAGTTGACAGCCACAAAGAGAGCCTGCCTCTTGTGGGGTCGAGAGCCAGTGGGGAGCACCAGGGAGGGGATCTTCTGAAAGGAAGGTGGTGAGGGAATGCGAAATGGAGGGCGGGAGGGGAGGAGTGAAGGAAGCCATGTCACATGCTAGGGAAAAGGAAGGACTAACCCTCGGCCTCACTGAGCTTTACCCCCATATGGCCAAAGGAACCAGGGCTTGACCAGGGAAGAAAGAACGGGAACAAGCTCATCAGAGCCTCATCACTGAAGATGTCGCTGTGCGGGGACAGGGGGGTCCCACAAATGGATTCATCAGCAAAGCCTTGGTGCTGAAAGGACTTTGGATGGGAGCTGGGACCTCCTATCCAAAGGAGGGCTCCCCTGGGCTCGGCATTTGAGGTTCTTTTGTCCTGTTCAATCTGCCCAGCACCTGCCTTCAAGTGTTCAGTTTCATAACCAGTGATGGGGAGTGGTCTGGAACCCTCTGGACATGCCTGGCCTCTCCTGACCTTGCCTAAGGAACAGGAAGCGTCTATTCTGGGTGTGTTAATTCTTGCTGGGCTGAGGATGCTCAGAAAGTCACTCACAGGGACTGCAGAGAGCAGAGAGCGTACCTGGTGAAGAAGGAGCTTCTCCTGAAGGCGGGGGAGTGGGAATTGTATCTGCGAATGGAGGAGAAGAATGTTTTGGTTTGACCTTCAGAGTCAGAAAATTGAAGAGCAAATGAGCAGAATCCACACCCTCACAACCCAGCTCTCTGTGCGGGTGCTGGGGTGTGCTGGCCGGCTGGCAGCATGGCCTCAACCCTAGCACACCCGGCCGAGCAGGCGAGGTGTGGACCCCAGCCCTGTCCTCCCTCGGGCGTGTCTGATCAAGACCAGGGCAGCAGGCAGAGTGTTCCTGCCGGAGGTGCCTCTTCTGTGTCTATGGCTGAGCCAAGGGTCGTGGCGCTCCCGCTCTGAGGATGCTGGGCTCTATGCGCACGGGTCTTGGGCCAGGGAGTGAGCATCGATGCATGTGTTCATTGCCAGAGAAAAAGTTGATCACGTTTAACTCGGGAAATGTGACAGGGAGGAACATTACCAAAGAAGACGTCCACTTCTGTTGAGGCTGAAGTTGCATCTGTGTATAAACCAAGAGAAGAGGACACTGGGAACCGAGGTGGCAATGCTGGGTGTCATTTCCTTGAGCTTCACGTTGTGGTCCACGTGGTCATAAGTAGGCTCCTTTCCTTTTCTTTTTTCTCCATCCCTCCCTCCCTGCCCCTCCCTCTTTTCCTCCCTCCCACCTAATCTCCCTCTCTCTCTTTCCTTTTTTTGAATACACATGAGGGTTTATTTAGAGAAATGCAGGTACTCCAGAGAATGTGGAGTGGGCTGTCCCAAGCAGGAAGTGGCCTCATGACTTCTGTTTTAGATTTTTCCCCCACAATGTCTTTATTTTATTTATTTGTTTATATGTGGTGCTGAGGATCAAACCCAGTGCCTCACACATGCTAGGCAAGTGCTCTACCACTGAGCCCCAGCCCCAGCCCCAGCCCCAGCCAGTGCTGTGACTTCTGTGTTGTGGGTTTTCATGACCTGCTTGGGATCCCCCGACCCTATGAACTCTTCATTTGTGTGGTTACAGCCATTTCCACCTAAGCCTAGTGCACCTGTGGTTGCTTCATTTTAGAGTGCAACAAATAAGAAGCAAATCTCATGGATTTGAAAAGCATAGTGGGAGACTTTACCAGTTAGAGAGGTTGCATCTTCTGGGGTTGAAGAAACATCTGTAGATAAAGGGGAGAGGGGACTTAAGTACCCTTGGGGGCACACCAGCCTTCTGTTCTTACCAAGGTTGCATTGGGGCAAAGTTTTCATGAAGCCAACTAGTGTGATAAACAGAGCTCTAAGAAGAGGCACTTGAAGGGACGGCAGGCAGATTGTACCTGGTGAAGAGGTCACAGCAGTTGGGATGGAAGCTGCAGACAAACAGAAACAGCAAGGAGGTGATTAGTCATGCCAGGGGCCGTGGTTCCAGAAGATACAGGAACATTGAGCCAGGTCAATATAAGCATATTAAAAACTCAAAAGATTACTAAAGAATCCAAGAATTTGGTCAAGACATAAATGGTTATTTAATGAATTCGCTGGGAATTTTTTAAAAAATTGCAGCAAACAAGATGAAATCCAAAATAACATTTAAATTACCTGTTGGAGTGGTTATAGCAATATCCAAAGATCCTGGAAATAAGAAATGGTAATTGGTTAAAATCTACCAAAGGGCAAGAAAACACTGCTTTATAGTTAACTTGTTTTCTTCTCTTTGTCCCTAGAGCACAGAAGGCTGATATTATGGTTTGGATGTGAGGTGTCCCCCAAAACTCACATGTGAGACAATGCAAGAAGGTTCAGAGGAGAATTGATAGGGTTGTGAGGGTCTTAACCCAATCAGTGAATTAATCCCTGGTGGGATTAATTGAGAGGTAATTGAAGTGTGCGGTGTGGCTGGAGGTGGGAATTGGGGTGTGGCTTTGGGGTATATGTATTGTGTATCTGTAGAGTCGTCCCTCTGCTTTCTGATCACTGTGACGTGAGCTGCTTCCCTCTGCCGCCCTCTCCCTCCACGATGTTCAGCATCACCTCGAGGCCCAAGGAATGGAGCTGGCCTTCTATGGACTCTGAGCCCTCAAATAAACGTTTCCTCCTCTATAATTGTGCTGGTCAGATCCTTTAGTCACAGCAGCAAAAAAGCTGGCTGAAACACCTAACTTTCATTTAATTGATTCACACTTCTTGATTGCCCATTCCCCGTGCCAGGCACTGGGCTGGTTATGGAGCAAAAGAGTCAATAAAACTACATATAGTTGCTGCCCTCAAAAAGGGGACCAACTCATGGATAGACAGAGAGGATGAAAAGACACACAAGCAAATGGATGACTTTTGCCATGAAATGAGAAACACAGATGGCCCGAGAACCTCTAACAGGTGAGCTGACCTGGCCAGGGAGCTCCCCTCCCATGCCCTTCTGCCTGGCACAGGTCCGTCCTGGATGAGGTGCTCAAAGACAGTGACAACCTGACACTAGCCCACTCCCAGGCCTGGAGTGGCAGACCCTCGTGCTGCCGACATGTGCAGTGCAGGGGTAGAGGCATTACCAGGCAAAGGAGTCTCTTCCTCTAGAGTGACAGTTGTGCCTAGATGCGAAACATGGAGATGGGCGTCATTCCATCAGGAAGTTTTGCAGAAAGGCCCAAGTCTGCCTTTACTGGGGTCTCATGTACTAATCTTCATTCTTGGGAAAACGGGGACTAATTATTTCCTGTCTTCCCAAATAAGAATTGAAGTATCCAAGTTAAAACACATGCACTATGATAGTATAAATAAATTCTGATATGATGCAAGTTCGTATTTGTGTCAGGCACAAGAACATACATATTATTTGATTCCCTTTTGAACAAGACACTGATGGTGTTCCCATCTGCCTGATTCAGAGTCCTTGGGAAGAATGCCATTGTTGTTAGGGATGGAACACAGAAGCATCTCAAAGGGACATCAAGGTAAGTAAATGACGTTTTGGTTCCATATTGTTATAGTTAGAAAGTCTGGTGACATTAAATGGCTTTTCTGAGCATTTCTGTAGCTGTTGGAGCATCTGCTAGCATTTCCTGGATTGTCAATGTGGCTCTTCTATGAGGGTTACCCCTCCCATCCTGTGTACTCTACCTCCAAACATTTTTCTTTCCTAACATGCAGCCAATAGGGAGGCCTGGTAGCCAGCTACTGGCGTGTGTAGAAAGGAGCATGGCTGGCTCTGAGAGAGCAGCTCATGCACATACACATCCCTCCGTGAGCACCCAAGTACTTTATTTAGGATTGAATGTTGGGATCTCAATGTGGCTGCCTAGAGGCCCTCTTTGTCTGCTTCTGGATTCTAGACTATTTTCTAAGGAATTAATTTAGCCAAGTGACTCCCCAGCAAATAGAGGGATAATTGTAGTATCTTGGTAGAATTTCAACAAATAACTATCCTTGAGATAGGCAGAAGGGGGACAAGCCACAGGAAACTTGTTACCGGTCATGAGGATCAAATTTGTGGCTGAAGTTGAAGTAGGAACTGTCAAAACAAGCAAAAGATAAATTGTATTTAAATAACATCTTTGTTGATCAAGTTCATTGGTAAAAAATTTTCACAAAAATTACCCCTATTTATAAATGTGTCTCAGCACAGTTGATTATGCTTTGTTCCTATTTGATTCTCCTAGCCTGTGTAATCAAGATAAAGGAAACAAATAACAAGGGTGGTGGTATATGAGTCTGGGACCTGAGTGACTGGTTGTGGTCTCTAGTGTTGTGTAATGGAGCAATTGACCTTATACAAGTCCTTTTGCATCTCTAAACTTCAGGTCCTGCAGCATCTGAAGGACCAATCCAAGGACTAATAGCATCAGTATCCTGTTGTTAGAAATGCAGATTCTTGGGATGCATTGAATCCAAATCTGCATTTTGAGAAAATTCCCAAGTGAGTTATGTGCATATTCAACTCTAAGAAGCACTGAGCTTGCAAATGGAGATGCTGCAGGCCAGGAGAATATGAGAGGTCAGGTGCCATGTGAAGGGGCCACCCTGCCCTACTTAGCCCCAGGCAATTATTGCTCATGAGGTGTGTAATACTAGTTCTCACTCTCAGATTTTCCAATTAAAGCTGGAAATCTTGGGCTGGAAATGCAGCTCAGTGATAGGGCACTTGCCCGGCATGCATGAGATCCTAGGTTCAATCCCTAACATCACAAAAAGAAAAAAGAAAAGGAAGAAAGCCTGAAATATAGATTCTTAAAACAACAACAACAAAAACAATAACAGAACACCATTACCACCACCAACAACTTTTGTTTTCAAAATGTGGGATTAAAAATAATTTGAACATGCATTGGCAATGCTGGGTTGTCTGAATCTAAATTCATTTGTGGGTCAAAACTTGTCCAGGGCTGCCCATTTGTGACTTCTGAACTGAGCGATCTCTAAGGGTTCTTCCAACTCTCAGGAATTGTTACATTGTGGTGGTCCCATATCTAACTTGACCTTGCCTAAAAGACTTTATGGGCAATTCTCATAGCTGTAGCCACAAAAGGGAATTGTGTTTCATCATAATTTCCCTTAGAGGTTAGTCTACCAAGCCTGGCAGAAGGCTTTTGAGATTTTGGAAATGCAGACTATGGGCCACTCTCATAACTGTTCAAAGAAAATGTGAGTTGAGTTGAGGTGGTATTTCTCCAACTTATAGAGCTGCACAATGACCATCTCAAGCCCTAGGACAATCCCTGGTGTGTAGAAGAAGGACTTTTACAAAAGGACACTTAGGTCGCTTGCTTTGGAGAGCCAAGCCAAGTCTTGGCCTGCAGCAGCATGTACCTCCCTAGAAGGGTGACTGGAAGCTCCCACCATGGTGCTCTACACCTGTGAAGAGCACTCAGTCCCCAGGATAAGGCTTTCAGGATTGTGTCCATCCTTCTGTTCTACAGGTAAAGAAACAGAAGCCTAAGAGGTCTGGGGACTTGCCCACCATTACCCAACTGGTTAACAGTGGAGCCAGAGAACCCAAGGTTATGCTCTGGTGCCAAATAGGGCCACACTGCATCACCACCTGAAAGTGATGAGAAATTTGGGAAACATTGGGTTACACCAAGTTAAGAAGAGATCTCTCCCTGCAGGACTCATCAGAGACTTGAAAGTGCTAATAGACTGAATCATCAAGAGAAGATATGGTATTTCCTCAAATTATGTAGCTATGCAAATCATTCTCAGAAATTTGCATAACACCGGATGAAGGGACTGTACTCTGAAACATGCTCAGGAGACGAGTTGCTCCATTATTTTCTGAAAATATGGATTCATGTTTTGCCTGAGATGTCTGAAGTCCTGTGAGTTAAAAGAATACACACAAAAAAATCACTGAATACCCCATGTGCTGACACTAATCAACATAGGAGTGAAGCAGGGTCACTAGAATTCAATCTCAGAGGCCAGCTGTGGCACCAAAGAGGGAAGAAACACACTGGAATCCTATACCTTAGGTACAAAAGGCACCCAATCTGTTCCTTTTATTGTTCTGGTTAATGAATATGTAAGCAGCTTACATTAGCTTGATATGAGCTTGATATTTAGTTTCATATGAGATAAAAACTGCAACCCTCATCATATGTAAGACAATCTACCACTCTGATTTATAGAAAGCAAGAGAGAAAATAAAATTACCCGGTGAAGCGGTCAATTCTGTGGCTGATGCTGAAATGGCAAAACAATCAGGAACTTAGAAGATACATTTTTGTTTAAAAATTTGATACCTAATATACATTAAGTTAGGTACAAAACAACTTCTGAAGTGTGAAACCAAGAAAAGTTTTTTAGTGGATACTCAAATTATTATTCTAACCTGTGGGCTATAGAATTAAGATAAGCTGGGCAGTAGGTATTTTCATTTCATCTGATTTCCTTTTCTATTATATGGTTTTTGGCAAGAGAAAGAAGAAAAAATAATAATGCACAAACTGCTGAATTAAACAAAGCAGAACAAACAAACAAGAGGGGACCACTCCAGCCACAGAGGGAGAAGGAAATAGGGTCGAAGTGTTGAAATACTGTTGAGAACTCGGGTTTGGGTCATGGAATTCTCATCAGCAGTGCCACAGTGTCATCTCCAAAGCTCAAAACAGACAAGTTGAGGACAAAGACTAGGAAGTGCCTGACCCCATGGTGGCTGACAGGGAGTCTGGGGGGTCCCTGAAGCCTGCAGAGACGGAGGGCTCTACGCTGAAGCAGCTTAGAAGGAAGGTTATAGACAACAGAGAGGCCACCTGGAACCAAGGCCAGGTGGGCTTTGGGACTGAGGGTCTTGGGATGATCCAGTTTAAACGATGCCCCATTATTTATCGGCTGCCCAGTGCTGAGAATGGACCTCCGTTTGTGTTTGGAGCTTCCCAAGAGGACGTAAACATTCCCATGTCAGTTCCCAGATCCCTGCCAAGAGTCACAGCTCTGCCGGTTTCAGGAGACAGTGGAGAGCGAGTACCTGAGCAGATGACGCCGGCGTCCTCGTGATGGCCACAGTTGTGGACAGACAAGCCCAGATGCTGGCACCGGCCTAGCGAGGTCTCCGTGCCCCGACACTGCACGTCGTCCAGGAGGATGCTCCCCACACCCTTCCCGAAGTAGCCGCTCCCCAGGGCGCTGATGCCCTCCCCGCAGCCCAGCTGCTGGCACACCACGTGGGCGGCGTCGATGCTCCACAGGTCGTCACACACGGTGCCCCAGGTGCCATTGTGGTGGACTTCAACACGGCCTTCACACCGGCTCCTCCCACCCACCAACCTGATGATGGACAGGTCTGGGGAAGACTCAGAGGTTATTACTGGGACTTCTACTAGGACTTTTCCTTAGTTCTATACCCTACACCCTGGATTCTAGAGCCTTCGAAGCCCTGGCTTCTTGCTTCTGGGTTTCACAGGACTAATAAGAGTAGTGCTTAGCAAGTGCCTGCTTTCCCGGGCTATTTCTGATTTCCACTATTTTATTCCATCATTCTCATCTTTGGGTTGAGCAAAAAGGTACAAAAGGATAAAAATAAATATCTATTTTGGAGCTGGAGACAGTGGTACATGTCTGTAATCCCAGGCTGAGAGAGGAGGATGGTGAGTTCAAAGCCAGCCTCAGCAGAAGTATGTGTTAAGCAACCCCGTGAGACCCTGTCTCTAAACAAAATACAAAATAGGGCTGGGCGTGTGGCTCAGAGGATGAGTGCCCCTGAGTTCAATCCCCAGTACCCACCCCCCACTGCAAGAAAAAGAAAATCTTTTTTGGAACCAAGTCATCAGATTGATAGAAAAACTCATTGTCATTGTCATTGACATGGATAGATCTCACACCCAACTTCTGGTTTTCTTTAAGTCAAACTTTCCCATTGGCTCAGGTTCCAAGCTAAAAACATCTCAGTAGAACCAGAGAGCAGATGCACTGAGGCTCTGCTTGTAGCCTGTGCCTCTGTTTCAGGTCTGTATTTTCCCAGTCCCAGGGAGGCATGGATCCGGGATAGCACTGACATCACTGGCTGTGACCCCAGGGACCCCTAGACCCCAAGGACCCCAATAACCAGGAAGTTGTGGGAGAAACAATGAGAGGATTACCAACTGCAGGAGCCGGGCTTGCCAGAGCTGGGGCCACTTCAGCAGCTGAAAGAGAAGAGGCATTCACATCAGGGAGGTGAAGACTGACGAAACGCCACCAGCCAAGTGGGCACGTGAGTCCCATGGGTGCCAGTGTGTGTGTGTGGGGTGCAGTCAGAGCTTCCCAGCAAATGCAGCAGTGCTGAGGGGAGGCCAGTGTCCAGAGGTCTGGCTCACCGGGACAGCGGCTGTGAACCATCTCGGCCTGGCCTGGGCGGCAATCTGTTTCACTGGAAGCATCTCTCTGAACCAGGGAGGTCACCTAGAGTGGCTCTGGAGATGTGAGGCTAGAGAACAGGATGGTGGACATTTGCTGCCGTTTTAACTCAGAGCACTTATCCCTAGACATCAAGAAACACTAAGTCTTCAGATTAAAATACCCCAGCCAACAGAGGGGAGTAGAAATGCCCTCTCCTCTGCCTCATCTTCAGCCCATCTGGGGACCTCATCTCTGCCCAGCCCTGAGGAGACTGGGGTGGTGCTGGGCTCTCGTGAGACCCCACAATGGAGTAGGGAGTCACAGATATTTGTTGCATGCAATTAATGAGGAATAAAAGGTAACAAAACAGGGATTTAGCATGTTCATTCAGCTGTTTTGAAAAGTTGCCTAAAATGACCCCTCATGGCAAGAAAGTCCCAACTTAGGCAATCAGCAATCAGTCAGGAGCGGGTTCAGAGAGCATAGCTCTCTCTCTCTCTCAGAAATAGCTTCCAGAGAAGCCCACAAGTTGGACACACCTGGGAGAACCATTCCCAGAAGTTAAGAATCACTCCAGGGCGAGGCTCGAGTTCTGTTTCTGTGTATGTTTTGGCTCATGGGATTTCTTCTCAGGGCCAGGGGGACTGGCTGTGGTGCGTGGCAGGGGATACTACTCTCCTGACATTAGAGTGACCAAGGTCCTGGCTTGTTGGAGTTCAAAGAGGCCATGTGACTTCTCAGTGCCAAAGCCAGGACAATTCCAGCAAAGCAGGGCAAGTTCTTGACCCACCTGGGACCCCAGGCCACTCGGGTATCTGCCTGTCAGAGATGGCTGTCCTGCTTGGGAGGGAAGCCGGGCTCAGCAGAGTTCAGGTACCTGAGCAGACAGCCCCGGCGTCCTCATGGTGCCCACAGTTATGCACAGACAGTCCGAGGTGGTGGCACTGTCCCAGGTTGGTCTCGTTGCCTGTACACCTCACGTCGTCTAGGAAGATGGGGCCGGCACCGTCGCCAAACAGACTGCTCCTGGGAGCTGCCAGGGCTGCCCCACAGCCCAACTGCTGGCACACCACCTGGGCAGCGGGCAGGCTCCAGAGGTCGTCGCACACGGTCCCCCAGGTGCCGTTGTGGTAGATCTCCACGCGGCCCTCGCACGGGTGCTTCCCGTCGGCCAGCCTCACCCCCGGCAGATCTGCAGGAGCAAGAGCAAGTGGGCATGAGGAGCCTCCTGCAGTGCTCCACGGGACAGCACATCTGGCTGGAGACTCCGGCCCTGGGGTGCAGCCTGCTGGGGAAGAGCATCTATCATGCAGGTGGGGAATGTGCTAATGTGGAGCCTTAGAAAACAGAGGAGCAGAGATGCCTGCTGTCTACCTACAATTTAGCAGACTCCACAGTGGCTCTGCCCGGGCTTTGTGGAAGACATTCTGCTTTCACCCTTGTTTATTGTGTTATGTTTCTAAAAATTCCAAACAAGGCAGCTGCATGCTTGGAGCTCAGCTTTTGCATTTCTAAGCCAGGTTTCCCCAAACATGATGAGATTATTAGAGCAAATTTAGTTTTACTTTACTTGAATTTAGAGAGCTGTAAAGTACTTATTTGGGAAATGCAAGAATAGAAACAGTACCTATTTGATGGAAAATGTGTGGATGATCCTGAGGAGCTGAAGAAACTGAACAGGTACAAAAGAAAAGTAGCCTCCGTAAGTACATTTAAGAAAAAAACAATGAAATTTCATATTCATTTCAAATACCGTCTAAGTCATAGGCGTTTTACCTTTAAAGAACCCCATTGAGTCTCTGATCACATGGTTACTATTTAAAATGTAATGGCAGCTCATGAATGAATATGCACATTATTTTTATTAAGAAAATAAAAACAATGGGGCTGGGGTTGTGGCTCAGTGGTAGAGTGCTCTCCTGGCATGCATGAGGCACTGGGTTCCATCCTCAGTACTACATAAATGTAAAATAAAGATATTGTGTCCACTAAAACTAAAAAGTAAATATTAAAAAAAAGAAAATAAAAACTAAAACTCATGTTGGGATTTTGAAGCTACGACCCCATACCCAGGGCTGCCTCAGCAGAACCAGAGTTCAGCCGCTGCATCCCAGATCCCAGGTAGTGCTGCAGGTGGAGAAAGAGCTCCTGTCCTTAGGTTCTCCTTCCCCAAACCTCCCTACTCCCAGGCCCCCCCACCCCCATCCCCAGGCCCTCCCGACTTCCCTGGTCTGCCAAGGCCTTTGCATGAACTACCATTTTAGGTAGTTTTAACCCAAGAGCTTTTGGGTTAAAAGCAGCTCTCAAATGCAGAACAGACAACACACTGGGCTGTTAAGATCCAGAACACCGTTTCCTCTAGGCACAGAGCAGGGTCCCAGGAGAATGGGAAACAACCCTGGGTCCTTACAGAAGAGTCTGTGCTCAGGGCACTGTCAAGGCCCCTTAAAGCTTCCAAGGGAAACCCATTGTAGGACCCTGCATTAGTCAAGAGTCACCAGTCAGTAAATAACAGACACCAACTCACAGATACCTGGATGCTCAGCAGCTGCAGAACCTGCAGAGATAAAGGAGACACCGGGCGGTGTGACATTAGAAACCAGATGGTGCGGGGGTTTGAAGGTCATTTTCTCTGTTTAAACATGACTGGAGGGAGCAGAGTGTAACCAATCCTTGAGCATCAGGGCTGTCCCCTCCGGTGTGGGTTCTCACCTGGCTAAAATCTCTGCAGTAGTGATTCTGATAGAATTTCCCTCAGTAACTAAAATGACGCATCTGCAACGTAGCAATACTTTTGTGTATCAGTGGTTTGTCAGATGCTCAAGTAAATGTTCTATGTGGATTGTCTCATTGAATCCTTCCAACAAATCTATGACATGAGTACTATTGTTGTCTCTATTTTACAACCGAGTCACCTTCCTAGACGCTCAAGTGGACCAGGCCACCCCATATGCTAAACAGCTGATATATTTTTCAGAGTGGGAACAGAAACTCCCTGTCAAGGACATGGGGTAGGCTGAAGGCATGCAGTCGTTTGCATATTCTACCTGGCCTGGGCATCTGTGACGCTGGCCAAGAGGCGTCACTGGGAGGAGATTTGGGGTCAGCCAGGTACTCCGAGCCACCGCTCACCTGAGCAGATGACGCCAGCATCTTCATGGTGCCCACAGTTGTGGGTGAACCAGCTGCCATGGGGGCATTGTTCCAGGGAGGCCTCACTTCCTGTGCAGTGGACATCATCAAGGAGGATGCCGCCTGACCCAGGGCTGAAGCTGGCCCCTGGGAGGGCAGATAAAGCCAGGCCACAGCCAAGCTGTCTGCAGACCACATGGGCATCCTCGATGGACCAGCTGTCATCACACACAGTGCCCCAGGTGTTGCCGTGGAAGACCTCGACGCGGCCCTCGCACCTGCTTGACCCATTTGCCAGCCGTAGGCCCAGACCTAGGTGGACAATCCCAAGAACACCCTTCATAGGGGCCCACCCAGAAGGGACATTTCCTGGGGTGTGCGCTGACAGCAAAGGATAACGAATCCCTTCTCCCCTTCATTTCATCTCCTTTACTTTTGTCTTGGGGACCACACCGTGGGCCTTCCATGCTGCTCCCTGGCCAACTGGACTGTGAGCTGCCCCCTCTGTAGCCCTCCTTTCACTGTGGGTTGTGGAGCTGTGGTTCCTGACAAAGAGTTTGTTGGATTTTTAACAAGAAGTAACCAGGCACACACTAAGTTGTGTGTGTGTGTGTGTGTGTGTGTGCACGTGTGCATGTGCACCCTTGCACATGTTGACCAAGTGACAATGACAATAGCTGTCATCTATGTTGTCCCCAGGATCAAGTGTGACCCATATGTAAACTCATTCCAGGGAATATGAAGGGCAGCCACTGCAGATGACACCCATTTTCAAAAGGCAGTGTTACGAAAGGGATTAAAAAACTGGGTGTGTTCAGAACACAGCCAAAGTGAGCTCCTGGGTCGGGGCTGGGAGGAGATTTGGGGTCAGCAAGATGCTCTGAGCCTTTCTAGTTGGCAACTTCCAAACCATCTCACAAGCCGGTGTTGCATCTCACATCTGTTTCCTCCCTCTCCTTTCTAATCACAGATTTTCTAGGTGAACCCAGACATTACCCGCCCACCCTCCAGCAGCTGCCATTTATAGGGCCAGCCTGAGGCCCGGGAGGAAGTTGGAAGTGGACAGTGTGTCCATCTGGGATCCTTCTTCCCACAGCCCTGCTGGAGTCTTTCTGAGCTGAAACTCTATGAAGGGAAAGCAACTGAAGAGAGGAGAAGGGATTGGTTACCTGTTGATATGGGCATCTCTGTTGGCTTTGGAAAAGATGCTAAAAGACAGATAGAAAGTAAAAGGAAAAATATATAACATCTTAGTCCAATGTCAAACATTTAACTTAGTCCGCTGCCAGTGGGCTCTCCACCTTCTGCATTATCTGTGGGCAGTTTCTGGTTCTAAATGAGACTCCCCAGCTGGGCCTTTCTCTGCAGACAGTACTCCAGCAGGTGTGTGTCCAGAAATATCCTCCCCAGAGCTTCCTCTGAAGGTTTGGGGTCATTTCTTTTCCCCAGCTCTTCCCTATATTGGACTTTGCACTTAAAGATCAGCCTGGGAAGAACAGCTGAATAAATTTGAAATATAAACAGCCAGGAGCAAACTAAAAAGTGATGCTTTCAGCTTCTTCATTATTAACCCTTCAAGCAGAGGAAATGTACAAAGATGAATCCTTGCAGTGCCCTGGCCTTGGAAGAGCTGAGCAGACCATGGCTGATGACTTATGTTGGCCCTGCCTCTTGGCAAGCACTATCCTCGCCACTGTGCTGAGAAAGCCAGTGAATTCCAGCAGAGCCCACGGACAAATGCTACCGTCCTTCTCAACCTCATCCAGGGGAGGAAACTGAGGCAGGAAGCAGTTTGGAGATTGGCTAGAGGCTCGCAGTTGGCTAATGATGAAGATAGGGCGTTTGACCCCTAAACCACTACCATTCTACCCAGGGCGACTATACTAAGGCAAGTGGCAGCCAATTCATTAAAAACAACTGAAATTACCTGAAGTTGTGTAGCGCACGGCAGCTGCTGGTGTTGGGCTAGGCCGAGAGGCTACGAAAGACATAGGAAGTGCAGGTCGGTCATCCTCCGTCACCCTCCTGAAACCCCAGAGTGGACCTGGGGAGAACCCAGACCAGATGCACCCCACCCAGGCCTCTGAGAAGGGCCCTGTGTTACCATGGTTACAAACCCCAGGTGTCCTGGGTCTCTGGGTTCACTTCTGCCCTGCGGCTAGACCCTGCATTGTCATTTTCTTTTCTTTCTTTTGGCAAGCTGGCCACAGCCATGGTCACCATGTGTGGAGCACCTCTCCAGCTGCTTTGGTGTTGTAATTTTTCCTGTGTGTGTGAGCAGGGGGGCTGTCTTGCCTCCCAGAGTGAATGTCAGCTGTAAAGAGTGGCGTCACATTTGTCTCCAGGACGCACACTGGCACCCTCAGTGCAGGGAGGGACAGGAAAGGCTGTGTGGACCATGGAGCTGGCCAGGAGCTCCAGGGTAGGGGTGGAGGAGAAAGATGCTCCTTCAGGCACCTCTGACTCACCCCAGGCAGCTGAAAGCCTGGCTCCAAACCTCCTGGCTCTTCAAGCCCCCAGCCCTGTCCTCTGATGTCCCACTCGGCGTGTGGCTTCAGCTTCTGCTCTCCCCAGAACACTCATTCTATCCCTTGGCTTCTCTCCTCTCCCCACAGCACCGTCCAGCACGCCACCCGCTTCCTCCTACCCTCTGTAGCTGATTGGCCAGTTTGCCTTTCCCCAGCCAAACCCAGAAGGATGAAGAGATGGGTGGGAACTTTTGACTCCAACTGCTGGATTAATCTGCAGAAATTTGAATGGTTGGAAAAGGAATCAGAGCCTTGGATTAGGACCTGGGCTGCTGGCTGCCAGGAAAGATCTTAGCTCTTCAATTTACGGTGGTGATGTGAAGTTTCTGTATACAAGGCGGAAAGGGTTTTAAAAACTACAGTGTGGGTAGCAAGTGGGTACACTGGAGATCCAAGTGGCTGCCACAGGGAACAGTGGCCTGGGGACAGTCCAGGATTCCTGGCTGCTCTGTGCGTGGTGGGCACAAGGCTGGAGCAGGAATGCCACTCTCTCCACCCATGCACACAAGTCCAAAACCCACCTGAGCAGATGGCACCAGCGTCCTCATGGTGGCCACAGTTGTGGGTGAACCAGCCACTGTGCAGGCACTGCCACAGCCTGGCTTCTGTCCCCATGCACTCTACATCATCCAGAGCGATGGGGCCCACACCTCGCTTGAAATGTGCCCGCCCAGGGGCCGCAAGGGCCTCGCCACAGCCCAGCTGCTTGCACACCACCTGGACGTCAAGCAGGTCCCAGCTGTCGTCACACACGGTGCCCCAGCTGCCGTTGTAGTGCAGCTCCACCCGGCCCTCGCACGGGTGGCCGCCGTCGGTCAGCCTCAGCACCACATCTGGGAACGGGAGATGTGCTTGGTCACCACCTGGGGCTGCCCTTGGATGCTGGGCCAGAAGGTAATGAGGACAGTTCCTCTAGTCCTTGTGCATGGAGAGGGAACACTTGTGGGTTAAAGCTGGCTGCAAAAGCACTTTAGGTTTGATTTCTCCTGTCAACTTTTTTCCAGGGGGAATATTTTTTTAGTTGTAGATGGATACAATATCTTTGTTAATTAGTTTATTTTTATGTGGGGCTGAGGATACAACCCAGTGCCTCCCACATGTGAGGCAAGTGCTCTACCACTGAGCTACAGCCCCAGCCCAAGGGGTGGGGTGCGTATTTTTAAAGGCTTTATTTCCCAGATTGGATTGCCTACTTCACAGAGGTCACAGAGGGCCCCGGAAGTCCTTCTGTAAAGTGAAAATCACCAGGTCCACCAGCACCGTGGCTGCTCCCAGGGAGAGTCGTGTTCTCAGACACAGTTCTGACTAAGGAGACTCCAAGCTGGCTGAGCAGCCGTCCCTGACATCAGAAGACACACGCAGTGCCTTCGTGCAGGGGCTGTGGGTGCTGGCCAGTTTCTCAAGCCACTCCTTGGGAGATGTGACTCCCAGAGGCCTTGGGAAACCCTTTTAAATCCCTGGTGCCCAGTCCCCTGAGGAGGGCATCCAACTTCACTGTCATTGCCAAGCAGGGTCAGGTGCTGAAATGACAGAAGGACTTACCCGTGTCGTTCTCGTTGTAAACTAGGGACTCGTAAGATGCGTAGAAGCCCATGTTGGTGACGATTGCGTCGCTGTGGAACACCACGGTCAGGCGATTGGAGGAGGAGGTAAATACTGGGGTTGTCCCTGAGCAGAACCTCCCCAGGGAAAAAGATTCACTTTGTGGGCCATCGAAGACTTCGATGAAGTCGTAGGGACAGCCGTAGAAATTTTCCATTCTGTGAAGTGAAAAGTGACATTCAGACTCCACCCGCGGGGGCTTTTCACCCAGGCGGCAGTGACCCAGGTCGGCTCAGGGGTTGGGAAAGCCACCTGAAACCGACCGCTCTTCACATAGGGTGGAGCCTTCCTTACTGATCCTACTGACACGGGCAAGAGGGACCCTCCTGCTTCCAATACCTTTACATTTTAAAAGTTGTAATTCAATAGCGTTTGTTCCTTATATATCACAAGCACAGGGAACAGAATTTAAGTGGTGTTGATGACTTATGGTGGAAAGTGAAAATCTCCTCCGGCCCCCCCCCGTCACTTCTTTCTCCTTCCCAGAAGCAGTTCCAGTGAATGGCTTCTTTTTATTTCCTTCCAGAGACTGCCTACGCACAGACTATTCAATGGTCTGTGGTTTCTTGCAGCCCATTTTATATCAAGATCCACTATGTGCATGACAGCAACATGGGGATACATGGAAATCTACTCAAATGATCCCCTACTGATGGAGAGTAGACTGTTTCCAATCTATTGCTACCAGGTGCAAGTTGCCATGATTATTTTCAGTGCCCATGAGACTCTCTGTAGGCCTAATTCCTGGGGCTGGAATTGCTGGGTTAAAAGATCTGTACATTTAAAATTTTGACGTTAAAAATTCAGGTGGAGTTCACCTTTGAGGATCAAACACGGGAGTTTTTGTTTGTGTATTTTTGAGGGGGATGGATGGAGGAGAACTGCGTGACAACATTAGTGAAAGTAGAGAACATGTACTTACTTGACCACTTGAAACGTCAGTTTGATGTGCGCCCTGGAGTCCACTTGGATGTCCCAGGCACATACCACATTCGTGGGGTATTTTTTAGGATACCAAGGACTGGAGAAGGAGCCCGAGTTATTTGTGAGCAAACCACCACAGTGGAAGTTCTCATCTGTAAGAAACAGTGAAGAAGCCCCATGAGGGGGGCACTGACTTCTGCTGGAGTTTTTAGCCACTCAAGGGGGACATCATGAGAACAGAAGCAGGAAAACATGGTCTAGGGCTGCTTCTGCAGGAAAGTCAGCTCTGCAGACCCTCCCTAAGCTCCCAACACTGTCCCCCTGGGCCGATGAAGACCATCCCGGTGATCCTGTGAGGAGAGGATGATTGTACACAGGGCTGAACGGGCTTTACGGACCTTGTGCACAGACAGGGCAAACCAGAGTAGCCGTTCTCAGTATAGCATGTTACACAACAGCTGTGTGCGACGGTCCCTAGTGGTACTTGTTAAAGTACTGAATTGGGAGGACACGAAACTGATCAAGTGCCCTGGATTCCTACTGGCACACCAAAACTTAGCTCATTATGAATGGTCTTTGCCCATCAGAGACTACTCACTGAACCCTAACTAGGCACTTCCCGCCAAAAGGATCTAAAGAAGGCCACTGCCCAAGTCCCAATCCAGTATTTTCTTTGCTTTGCTTCTGGGTTCACCCTGTCGAAGTCTTCCCCTCAGTGGAGCCCCCAAACCACTCCGGTGAGGAGATGTTCAATTCAAAATGGCTCTCTGTTCAAATAAATTCTTATACAATTTTAAGATACCCAAATTATCTTTTGATAATTATACACAAATCCTAGCTGACATTAAGATCAAGGTTACATAAAGCATCCCGTGTATGGCTGCAATATTGGCCTTGGTATGGTAGTGGTGAAAGGGCTCTGTCCAGCTACTTCTCAAATACAAAAGGAAGAAAGGACATTTGTCCAGTTACAGGAAGAGTTGACACTGAAGTGAAACACACACGGGACCACATGGGGAGCTTGCATGAGCTAAAGTACCTGTAGAGGGACTGTCATCAGTGACACCTGTGAAAATACAGAGCAAGAGTGACACCATGAGTAGGGGTCTCTGTCCAGAACACTCCTTTAAAATACTCAGAGCACTGGCCTCCAATACTAGGATTTCTCTGTCCCCCAGTGGTCAAGAGCCTGGACCGTCAAACACCAAGTATGCGGATAGGTGTCACCCATACAGCTTGTCCAGGGCTGGCCTGGGTTCTCATTGTCTCCCTCCAGCATCTCACACACAGCCCATGGCTGCAAGCAGTCAGCCTTGTCTTCGAAGCAGGTACTGGCGCAGAGTCCCCGTGGCTGACAAGTCGTATCTCTGGTGAATCTGCTCCTTCCCTCCCTCTTGCCTTTCTTCCCACCCTCTGCAGCCCCTCGGCCCCACCATTTTGTCAGTCCTAAGGGACTGCACGGCTCTTGTTAATTAGCCATGGAGAACTCCACTGGACTGTGCCCCAACCTCAGGATTAAACAGGAGCCAGGATTCACATACACCAGGGACCTGGCAACTGGTCGAACCATATGGAAAAACAGTACCTGTTGGTCCTCCCTTTGGATTGCCACCAATACCTATTCAGAAGTAGGTGAGAGAATGAGAGAGGATTGAGTAAGGTGTTCACACAATTCATGAAAAAAATCGAGCACTTTGTTCAGGATCAAGCGTATTCTATTCTGGGCAGTTGGTGACATGGTATCGAAACTCATTAGAGTTGGTTAAAAGATCAGTGCCTCCTGGTGAGGGAGCACACTTTGCTCTTGGGGACTCAGATGCCACATGTTTGCTTTTGGCAAGTTTCTGGGTTGACTGGGCTTTCCTGACAGGGTGAGCTGTCCTTGGCGAGACCATAAGACCCGCGTGTGATCCTGGACAGGCCTGTGCTGCCTTGTCAAGGGCAGATGCCTGTCGTCTCTATTAGAGGCTGGGAAGATTAAATGGGAGTGTGAGGGCACAGGTTGCCACAAGAGGTTGGCATGGCTAAGCACTCGATGGGCACCGACACCTCTTCCTACTCAGGAGAGCAGTAGTCACCCATGCCCTGGAGGTCCCTCCAGGAATAGGACATCTGCTGAGACTGACCCTCTATTGAGTCACCTCAACTTTCTACGGGGAGCCGTCAACATTTTACAGGTGCCGCAGTTGAAGAGGGAACTAACTCTTAAGCAAATTGACTTAAGAAGCTGGCCTGACGCCCAGCGCTTGCCTGGACTCATTGCCTGCTGCTGTTGACATGTCCCTTCCCAGAGGCTACCGGTGGGTGACATCCCCCCTGAGGTGTGCGGTGTGCTCACGGGTGCTCACCGGAGCAGATGGCGCTGGCGTCCTCCTGGTGCCCACAGTTGTGGGAGAGCCACCCGTTGTGTGTGCACTGCCACACCTTGGCCTCGGTCCCTGTGCACCGCACGTCATCCAGCATGATGTGACCAGTGCCCCCGTCAAAGTAGCTCTGAGCTGGGGCTGACAGGGCCTCGCCACAGCCGAGCTGCTGGCACACCACCCTGGCGTCGCTCAGGTCCCAGCTGTCATCGCACACCGTGCCCCAGGTGCCGTTGTAGAAGACCTCCACCCGGCCCTCACACCTGTGGCTGCCGTTCACCAGTTGCAGGGACATCTCTGGGGACAGGAAAACGGGGGCTTCTGAGCTGTGGTGCTGTCCACAACCCTAGGACCTTCTGCAGGTAGAAAGCGTTTTCTGGCACGTGGGCACGGGTTCCCCTGCTGGACTCTGAGCCCCTAGGAAGTGTGTCCCTGTGTCCTGATTTACCTGGAATAGTCCTGGCCGTGATGGGGGAAGATCCATCAACGCCTGCTGATTATTTTAGAACCTCTTTTAATCTCATAAAAGTATCCCAGCCGGACAACAGCTTACACAGACCCCAGGCGTGAGCCACCCGAGTGCAGTGGGAGGATCTCAAAGAACCGGAAATGGTCTGGATGGTTTGTATTGGATTCAGCTGGGAGCGGGTGGGCTGTAGTTGCAGTTTCCCACAGTTTTGGTCCAGATTGATTGTCCTTCCCTTGGAGAAGGAGGCTCTCATTTGGGACCTTTGCCAACACACACAGCCAGTGCAAGATAGGAGACCTCGGCCATCTGTTTCTTCAGTGGGGGTGACCCTGGGCGGCACAGCAGGGGTGAGGACTGTGTCTGGGGCTTGTGTGGATGTCACTAAGGTTGTCAGCAGTGGGGGTGAGTCCTCCGATTAGATCCAGAAAGTGCCTCCTCTCTTAAAGGGACAGGATGCGAGTTAGACATAACTCCTGTGAGGCTCACGTCAAGATACCCACCACTCTCCCTTTCATCCTGCGGAATGGTGCTGTACAGAGCATAAAACCCCGTGCTGGTGATCATGGCGTCACTTCTGAACTCCACGGTCATGATATTCGAAGACGAGAGGAATGTGAGCTCTTCCCCAGCACAAAATCTGCCCATGGAGAGCGAGGCAGCTTGCCGTCCATCAAACACCTCCACAAAGTCATAGGGACACCCATAGATGTCCTCTAGTCTAGGACAGGAAGGCAGCGTTAGACTCCCAGGAGATCTGGGCAGGCATCCTGCCATCTTCTCCTAACCGGCCCCTGCTAACCGCGTGACTTTGAAGGAACACCTTGAACCTGCCTCCCATCCTTCCCGCCTGGGACCACCCAGTTATCTGACTCCATCTCTCGCCTGGTCCATTTTAGTGACCTCCCACCAGGAATCCTGGCTCTCAGCTTCCCCTTTTCTCTCTACCTTGAGTGTCTCCTTAATGTCCCCTGACTCTTTAATTCAAATCCTGCCACTCCCTGGGCGGTGGTCAGTGTTCAACAGGGGCTCATTGAGTCATAATCAAGAAGACTCCCGAGCGTGGAGAAATAATGAGAGCTGTGGAAAGCTCCAGGCCTCGCTGGGTGGACTCTTCCCACCAGTGCCCCAAACTGCCTGGTCCAAACCAAATGCTTTCCATCCCACCCGGATGACCAGAGGCTTCTTGACCGTCCCCTCCACTGCTTCTCCTCCTCACCCTCTAGCCCACAGCTGCAGACGTGTGCATTTTTCTTCACAGCACTTGTCAACTTATTGCTGTCTGAGATTGTCCACTTAGTTTTTGGTTTATTTGAGCACTGTCTTTCCCTCTAGGATGCAAACAGGATGGAAGAGGGCTTGTCTGTCTTGTTTGGTGTGATAAGCCCACTCCTAGACCAGGGCCCCCACAGAGTGAGGCTCAATACACACAAGTCCTATAAGTGGTAAAATCTCTTCAGGTTCAGAACCTCGTTGTGAATCATGACTAATTTTATGTCTTGAGAAACAAAAAGCAAATATTGATAAATCTAGACTTAAAAACATAGAACCCTCCCAAATTAGCAACTGTGCCCTGGTTCTCGGCAACACATTAAATGCTTTCTTGATTGTGTGCTTCAGAACTGTAGTAGGAACTTCACGTTGTAATAGCGACCTTTTCATTAGAGGGGATGTGAGCCATTACAGTTCTTTGGAATAACTATTTTCCAGAAGTGATAAAATGAGATGCTGTGTCTTAATAAACCATTAGAACTTTAAATTTCATATATTAGAAATATGTGATACCAAATCTCCTCACATTGTTTTCTACAGATAAATGCATATTGAATGAATGGATGATAAACATAGATTGCTCATAATGCGTAACCCCTGATGTTCATTTATGTCCTCTCTAACCAAAATGAATTTGTCAGTCAGGAGACACCAGTGGACTCCACCCTTTGTTCTGCTGCCTGCACTTTTTATGCTTCTGAAGACAGCAGTTAGCCATTCAGACCCTGTGCTGCTGTGGCTGATGATCGCGGGCAGGAAGAAGCAGCAGAGATCTGAGACATACTGCAGGACAAAGTCAAGAAGAGAGAATAACCCAGATACAACCAGTGTAGACAGGTGGGAAGGTAATTTTTTTTTAGAAAGTTACTCATGTGTATGGTGTATGAGTGAATATATATATATATATATATATATATATATATCTCCAACTGGCCCTGCACACCTGTGGGTTCTGCACCTGAGGATGCAATCAAACGTGGATCACAAATACTTGGAAAAAAACTGCATCTGTACTAAATCAGTCCTAAAACTGCAGACTTTTTTCTTATCTTGATTCCCTAACATTACAGTGTTCCAGCTGCTTGCATAGCATTGACTTTGAATCAGGTTGGTCAGTCATCCAAGGTGATTTGGGGTACACAGGAGGATGTGTGAGTTCTGATTTATTAGAGGATTTGAGCATCTGTGGGCCTGGTAGCTTAGGGTAGGTGGGGGACCTGAAACCAATCCCCTGTGGATACTGATGGTCAAATGTATACAGGGACATATAAATATACATTAAAATAGGATAAATTCCTTTAAAATGGGTAGTGATTGCAGAAAGAAGTAGGAAGTGTGAGGTTCATAAATGGAGGAATAAATGAGCTGCTCAATTTGTAGAAGAAAATCTCAGCAGAGACGTGGTAGAAATTCATGGAGGGAAGAGAAACCAGATTTGCCTTGGGTGCATCAAAGGGAACAAAGATGGGGCAACGCAGATCTGGATTCAGCAGGGGAAGCAGCCTGTGTCTCTGGTGAGCTGGCTGAGGTGGAGGGGTGAGGTGTTTGGGTGTGGCCACCCCGCAGGGGCACTAGGGCCCGCTCTTCATGGGTTATTCTCTCATTGCAAAGGAAGTTGAGCTAAATGACTGAAAGACCCTCACAGCCCAGGTGATCAGACCAGTTCTCACCTAAATGTGAAAGGATTTGAGCCACAGAAAGGCTGCCTCTTTGAGGAGACCCCGGGTCATATTCCACCTGGCTTTTGAAGTAGAGAGGGGCGAGGCCACTCACCTGAGGCTTGGGATGGTCAGCTGTATGTGGAACTTGTCAGCCACATGTATCACCCAGATGCACTCCACGTCGGTGGGGTAGTTTGTAGGATACCAAGGACTGGAGAAGGAGCCTGAGAGGCTCGAAAGGACTCCCCCGCAAGAGTCACTTCCCTCTGTGAGAGCAGAAGAGAGACCGTGGTTGGCCTCTACGGGCACACACCCTGCATTTTCCCAGACGCAGGAACCAGAATTCCATCAAGCTCAACAGCAGAATCACAAAAAGGGGAGGGACTCTGCTGGCCTGGGCATGGCTGTGGCTTGGCTGGTGCGGGTGGTACACCTCTCAGGGGCCATGTGGGAGGATGAAAGTGGGACCTTACAATCAACTGTGGGTGAGACTATGCACATGCAGGTGACAGGTGGGTGTGTCCAGGCTGTACTTCTTTAATGCTCTCCCCAGGTTCCTGTCACACAAACCAGCTCAACTCAGGTGTGGATAGCCCACCCCTCTGTGAGGGCTCAATCCCACCCATTCCTCCCCCCTCATGGCAGCCTGGACAGATAGAAGTCCATTCTGCTTTTATGAATTATCCAAATGATCTCACTTGATGCTTTATAGGCCATGATTTCAATGAAGAGGGTTACCTTTTGGTATAGGTACTTGACCAACAGCAGCTGCAAAATACAGAGAAAACCAGGAGAGAGCTGAGCATCATAAAATCACACTTGCAAAACCAGGGAGGCTGGGGAGGGAATGATGGAAATAGATTGGACTAGTGGGGAGGGGACTAGGAAAGACAGAGAAATAACATTCCTAGCTTTGTATTTGTCCACATGACCAAGGTAACTCCACATTGTGTTTGACCACAGAGTGGGAACCTAATAGAATAAGTTATACTGGGTGTATGCATATCCTGCCAAAATACATTCTACTGTCATGTGCAACTAAAAACTTAAAAAATAAAAAAATTTTTTAAAAAATCACACTTAATTAAGGGCAAATGAATGAACATGTTACTACTCTTGGGTTTTACTAAGTAGTGTGGACACTCTCTCTTTTCTCCCTGATCTAGGGTGGAGCTGGTCCATTTCTTTCAATGGATTCACCAGATAATCACAGACAGTGTCTAGCGGTGTGACATCTTTTCTCTTCTGTGCTTGGTCCACCAAACCCAAGGGCTGTCCTGAGACTGATTGGTCACTGTGAATGACCCACAGTAACATCACTGGGCTTGTTGACCATGCCACTGTGTCTGTAAAAATTGATCAAGTGCCAGAATCCAAGAGGAGAAAAACCAGAATCCTAGAGCCAGGGGCGGGAGGGGTAGGCCAGAGGGTCCTGTGAAGGAAGGTGGGCTTCAGGGCTTGTTTAAGGTCCCTTCTTTCTCCTTTCATGCATCCTGTTGGCTCTGATTTCTATGTAGCACGTATCTCAACATTCAATATCCCGTATTCTCAGTCCTCTCCCCACAAGGCTGGCTGAGGGCAAGGAATTTTTGAAAGCTTGTTCTTTGGGATGTGCCACCTGCCTGAGTTTACAGGAAGGCTTGGTGGGAGGGAGTCTGAACACCCAGGCAGAGGGTTGAGAATTCCTTTACCCTGTCATCTTGCTCTGCAGCCAGCTCTGCTGCAAGGGGCAGAGCAGTGAAGTGAGGGATGCTGTCCACTTTCCTGTCTTTTGTCCTTTGCCCAGGACAGGGTTGGGGACCAACACAATGATTTTTTTCCAACCTTCAGCATCTCAGAAGCAATTTTCTTTTGTTAAATGCTGGATACACAGTATTTCTCTCAGAACATTAAATGGCAAAAGTATTATATTTTTGTGCCTAGATAGAGGTCTCATGGTCAATCGGTAAGTGGTTTACTGGATTAATGTCACAGATGGATACTATTTATGCACAAATGGTCCCATTCCCACCCCCCACCCCCAGTTTCTTTTTTCCCATGGCCCATTCTCTTCTCCAGTCAGCGAGGCCTCTATGCTTCATAAAAAGGGATCTTGGAGTACAGGGAAGAAAGAAAGGCCCTGAGGTTCGAAACCCTGGGCTCCAGGAGGACTTAGGTGCAGAATCAGCCGAAGCACTGAAAGCCCCACCCTCCCTTCTCCTGTCCAGGCCTCTTCCTCCTGACCCAGGCTACAACAGATTCCTCGCCAGGGAAAGCCAGGAGGAGTCAAAGGGGCCCAGCTATTCGTTAGCCCCTAAGAAGGGATCCTGTATGCTCTGTCTTCCCTCCAGGGCTGCTATAAAATTGTGGGTCCCATTGTGAAATGGAAATGTGGGGCCTCAGTCAGGGATGGAGCACTCTCCTCCTTCCCCAGGACCCCTGCTCCATCCACAGAGAATGTGAAGCCCTCAAGGGATGGTGCTGTCTGTCCTGGGGTGCACACAGGCCCTGGATGGAAGTGGGTAAGAGACCTCCACTGAGTTTCCACAGATGTGCCATGGTGCTGTCAGCCGGGTAGGGACAGCTTCCAGCCATCCTGGGGGCCCTGAAACATCACAGCGTGCACCCTCAATCCTGGCACCATCCAGTGCCCAGCCCCCAGTGGCAACAGTCAATGGCAGAGACAGAGAGGACCTAGGCCAGGCCCTGGGAGCTGGGGTCTGGGAAGAAGGCAGCTGAGAACCTGTCTTAGAAGCAGAGGGAAGAGGCAGGGCCCCGTGAGCTGGTCTAGATGGAATTGTGAGTTTGGGAGAAGGTCATTGCAGTATGTGACTTTGAGTAGGTTACCAGAAGTTCTACTCTGTTGTGTTGGATAAGCCAAGGAATCCAAGGCAGAGCCCCCAGATGGTTTGTTTCCTTCTCTGTCTCTCCCCCTGCCCCCTCTCTCTCTTTGGTGCTGGATATTGAATTCAGGGATGCCCTACCACTGAGCTATATCCCCAGTCCTTTTTATTTTTTATTTTGAGACAGGGTCTTAGTAAGTTGCTGAGCCTGACTTTGAACTTGTGATCCTCTTGCCTCAACCTCCCAAGTTAGGATCACAGGTATGAACCACTGCATCTGTCCAAATGGTTTATTTACCAGAGGTCTGTTATTGAGCATCGGGAACAGAGTTTGCCATTGAATGCATCTTTGTTTCTGTTTCTCTGCATGCTTTCATTTTCTAACCCTCGTCCCTGAGATGCAAACCTTTCTACCTTTTCTCTTCTCCAGGTTGATGCTCTCCTCATTCACAGTGATTGAACTTCTCTCTCCTCCTTGCTCTGCCACTAGACAGGGCGAGTTTTGAAAATAATTCCATTTGGGAAACGTGACTCTTGGTCCCTCATCTGAGCTACTGGCGCTCAACCTGAGCCGCACATTGCATTACATGGGGAGATTTAAGTATTAGTGATGAGTGGGAGTCACCCCAGAGGTTCTGGACGTGACTGGTCCTGGGTACAGTCAGGACACAGGGAATTTCAGAAGCTCCTTGGATGGCGGCAGTGTGCGACTATAATTGGAATTCAGTGATCTGGTCACTGTTCACCAGGGTCTTGGTCAGGACACGGATCAGATTCCTCTTAAATTTTGCAGAGATAGAAATTCCCAGTGTTGGACTTACGTCTGGATGTAGGAGTCACATCTGTAGCCCAGTTCCCAGCACCTGCATGTATGGAAAATAAGCAAATTTAGAGATCTAACTTAAATTCTATGAAGACAAAGAAATGGCTTTCTAGGTGGGCAGGTCTGAAGCAGGCAGGCCTCACGTTACCTAAGTAAGCACAAGGACGCGGCTTTCTTATGCAAGACACCTAGGAAATGTGCAGAGAAGAGGACCAGCCAGTTGAGTGGTCTGGTGTGCTTATCCTCAGAACAGTGAGCCCCTCAGTCATCTCTGGCTACCTGGCTGAAGGGAGGGTCATCTGATGGCCACTGTCCTTAGATTCCCTGGCCCTACTCTATCTATGCATGGTCCCCATCTATCACTAAGGCCCCTCATAAAAAGAACCCACTGTGAGAGGGGAGGGTACCTGAGCAGACAACACCAGCATCCTCATGATGGCCACAGTTGTGGTCTGACCAGCCAGAGCTGGGGCATTGGCCAAGGTGGCTCTCGCTTCCCGAACACTGGATGTTGTCCAGGAGGATGTCTCCAGAGCCTGGGCCAAAGTGGGCCTTTCCAGGAGCAGCAATGGCCTGTCCGCACTCCAGCTGTCTGCACACAACCTCAGCTTCCTTCAGGTCCCACAGGTCGTCACACACGGTGCCCCAGGACCCCTGGTGGAGGACCTCCACGCGTCCTGAGCACCTTCTGGAGCCGCCCACCAGCCGCAGCACTGGTCCATCTTCTAAACAGAGGAGGATTTTATTTTTGAATTTTGAAAGTTTAAATGTAGGAAGTGGCTTCTAACTCTCGTGCCATGGCCAAGGCCAACAACACAAGAGCCAAACCTTACAGCTGTCTTGGTTCCATAATAGGCAGAAGGGCTTAGAGAGAGACAGAAATCGGGTTTGAATCCCAGTTCTGCTGCTCTCTAGTTGTGTAAAATTTGACAAATTGTTTTGTCCCTCTGAGCTTCGATTTCCTCATCTGTAACATGGGAGCTCCAGCAACACCTACCTCAGAGGGCTGGAGGGATAAATCAACCAGGGTGTCCACATGAAGGACACAGCTCAGCCCCGGCAACATGGTCGCAGCAGATCTTTCCATGTGGTTCTGTGTATCAAGATGCCTAGCTACTGGGGAAGCAGATTCCCAGCTGCTCTTCTTTGGTGTATCTTGGATAAGTATAGGTTTAGTCCCCTGACAGGCATTGTTCCACCAAGATGGCTGTGGCCTCATTGAATCAAATGACTATGGCAATTTCTGGGTCAAAGGGCGGTGGCCAGTTGGAATTACCTGCTGCCTCCTGGAGCTACCCTAAGGACATCCTCTTCTTTCTGTGCCCACAGTAAGGCGCCTCCACTCTGCTCCAGTATGTGCCCTGGAGGCCTTTGCATCTGCTGCTCTCTCTGCCTGTCATTCCTCACATGTCACCTCCTCAGGGGTGCCATGTCCCCAGGTACCCCTTCCCTCAGGCACTCTCTACTAGGCCACCTGCCCTGTCTTCCCAGCCCTTATCTGCACCTTTTGTCACCCCTATCCCCAACTCCTCCTGTCTATTTACTTGCTTCTCTTGTCTTGAGCCTCTCCTCTCTCTGGCACCCACCCTGGAACACAGGGCAGGGAGCCGGTTCTGTTCTGTGCCACACACTTCCTACAAGCCTGGAGCATGAAGAACCTGCCTGGCTCTTATTTAATGAGTGAATTGGGGTCATGAGTCAGAGTGGTCTTGATTGCAAATGCTGGGGGTTCCTTACCCCAGGGCAGGGTCTCAAACACGCCTTTGAAGGTCAGATAAGAGACATTCCCTTCAAAAAAAAATCACACAAACTCAAACTGCAGCTGGGGACTTACTACTTGGCTTTCTGAAGGCCTGAAGGAATTACCAAGACTCCTGCCGGACCCTGAGCACCGAAGTCCCTAACCGGAAGGCAGCGTGCTTTCAGATTGAAAATTGGGCGAATGCTGGAATGGCTGCCTATAGGACCATGGAGAACAGTGGTCCTAAGCCTCTCCTTGGGTGAGACCAGGCACCGTGTGTGGAAGTATGAAATGCACAGCTGGTAGAGAAAATCGCCACCTCTAAGGGTCCCATGATTCAGCACTCTGGACAGTTCCCGAGGTGCTGACAATAGCCTATTCAGCTGGAAGACACTGCATAGCTTACAGCTGTCCCCAGGATGGTTGCTGCCTGGCCATTTACACTCTGGGTACACATCACTACTTTACTGTAGCTTGCCATGTGGCCCTCTGTGGGAAAATCTAGCAGGTACTGAGCAGGGCGGATGGAGCTGAGAGTGAGGATCTTTGAAAACAGAATCCCAAACCTCTGTCAGAGGGGAGCCTCTCAAGTGAGAAACTGCTCGGTTATTTACAACATCAAAAGCTACCAGAGGCTTCCCACCTGATTCCCTTTCACCCTGTGCAATCGCATTGAACAGAGCATGAAAGCCGGTGTTGGTTATCATCGAATCGCTGCGGAACACCACCGTCATGATTTCTGATGAGGAGAAAAATAGCACAGCTGCTGGGGCACAGAACTTCCCCATGGAGAGCGAGGCGATCCTGGGGCCATCGAAGATCTCCACCGAGTCATAGGGACAGCCGAGGATATCTTCCAGCCTGTGGGAAGAGAAGTGGAAGGTAGTGGCAGGTTAGAAGCTTCCTAGATGTTAATGCTCCAAGTGTGACAATATAGAGCTCGAATATGTGGATTAGAGCTTAAGTTTCACACTAACATAGAAATATTGATTAATTTTTTTCAGATGCTTTCTCAGAACTCCTTTTCTTTCCCTGAGGAATGTGTGCAACATATATATGACAGAAGTTTTAAAATCTTAATTGTTTCGGCCAGTCCCAACCTGCATGAGACATTAACAAATAAAAACAATATTTGTTATGACTGTAATAATACTGCAGCTAAATCAACAGTCAGATCACCTGATGATCAGCATGTAATGGGTGTCACAACCAGATCTCCCTACCTCTACGATTCACAGTATCTTCCATAACATCCAAATGCTTAGGAGGAAAAAACTTGATTTTAAAATGAAAGTAATAGCAGCATATAGAAGGGTATTTGCACTTTGGCCATTTATTTATGGGGGATATGATGAAGAGTGATGCTGAGGAAATACACAGCCCACATCATGATAGGCCGGGGAGGTGTACGTTCAGGCTCCCCCTTCACTGTGGGATCATTATGTCCCTGTGGCTTCAGCCAACAAAGATAACGTGGCTTGGGACTTTATTAGTTTATTTTGTTTGTTTTGTTGGACCGTCTGCATCCATGGCTTGGCGTAGTCATGACTGATCAACAGTTCAGAGCCTGGCTGAGGCTGGGTTATCAGGGATCCACAGCCTTGCCAGCGTGGGCGTCGCAGGTGTCGTGTACAAGAAAGGTCCTGTGCAGACTCTGCTTGAGGGATCACGGATCAGTGAAGAGCTGGGTTCCGTGTCTGACAGATGGACGTGGGTTGTCCTTGGGAAAGCTAGTGTCCCCTGGGAGTCGGTTTCCTCCCCTCTAACGGGAATGACAACGACATCTGTTTGGGAGCTGTATTAACCCCCAAAGCATAAAGGTGTACAGGACAGTGTGGGCACACAGTCAGCCTTTAAAAAGTCAGCTATTATGTCACTGAGACAAAAATATGGCAGTGACTAAGGACAACACCTGTTCTCTTCATGTCAGGATGAGACAATGTCTTTTCCGTCTCCTTTCACTTTGTGGAACACTCAGAAGATGCACGTCCTGAGGCTGGAGTAGTGGGCCAATGTGTGCATACGGAAAGTCTCCTACTGTTTGTTTAAAATTTAGATTTTAAAAAATAAAGTTTAAGAAGAAAACTATCGGCACTCAGTGTATTACAAGGGAAAATGTGTTGAGTATTTTGTGATGATTTTAGGGGGAAAAAAATCAAAAGAGAAACTATCCAGAGAAGGTCAAGTGAATATGTTCACCAACGAAGTCTCAAGCTTACAATTCTGTAAATATTTCAATGAGATTGATAAAGACACATTAAAATGGGTTAAAAAATCATAATTTAGACTTTGTATCCTTCATAAATATCTTCATATGCATATGGGAGGTAGATATGTACCTCAAATCATTCACCTATTATTTTTCTCAAAGGATTAGACCTGTAAAACATGATAATTATTTCAAAGTTACCATAAGGTGCTCATTTTACATTTTTACAGGTGTTTCACACCTGGCAAATGGGCAAAGTGGGTTAATAAGCTACTTACTGAGTTTTTTAAGCTAGAAGTGACTCAGTGCATGACATTATGAATGTAAGCCAAATTTGACTTGGAGAGATGGTAGAGTTTTGTGTTCTTCTGGGTTCACCCTTAAATGTTTCCCACTAAGAGAGAGATCTTCATCATAATTTTACAATTGATATTGTTATGTGGATATTTAAAAGTTTTCTTACTTCAAACTTGGAATTGTGAGCTCTATGCGGAATTTTTTATCCACATGAATTTCCCAAACACATTGGATGTCTGTTGGGTAGTTTTCTGGATATCGTGGACTAGAAAATGAGCCAGAGAGACTAGAAATGACCCCTCCACAAGAGTGACTTCCTCCTGAAACAACAGGAAAAAAAGATGTCAGGATGGTGTCACCCAGTGGTCCAGCGGAGTCCAGTGGCCTTGCCTGGCTGGACGCCCAGAGCCATCTGAGCCGTCGTTAGCCTTCATTTCTCTCAGGAAGGAGAGTGCATTCAATCTGGTTCTGATGGGTCAAAAGTGTTAACCGTTCATGAAAGTTCCTTGTCTTTCCCTCCTCATTACCACCTGATAGAGAAGTGTGGCCTTTGTCCTCTCTGCCTACTGCCTCCTCCCTGGGGTTTTGCATGCTGGGAGCAGATCTACCGACTGAGAGGTTGGGAAGGAGAGACAAAGAGGTTGTGCACCCATGTAGGGGAGAGATTGGGGGGGTCTGGGGAGCAAGAGCCACTAGAACAACTCTGGGGTCTGATGAGCCCGAGATGAAGGGAAAGGGACTTGGAGCACTGCTTGGGGAGGCTGTGACTGGGACCCCCTCGGAGTACTTTTTCATAACTTTTCCCTGGTAGACGGTGTTTCCTATAACTCAGTTGTACTCACACTGGAACTTGTAGTTTTTTGGACTTATAAGGGTAAACAAGATAACAGTGAAATCTGATTCTTTCATATTTGTTTTCAAATCTGTACAACTAGAGATATGCACACATGTGTACATGTAAAGCAGCATGACACGCAAGGAAGCAGAGACTTAGAATATCAAATGATCTTGGAGGAAGCTCGAAAACACAACCAGCTTCATTGACCTTGTCCCTACATATTGTAAGGTTGCTTAAGTTTTCTTCTTTCTGCTCCTCTGACCAATTTGCAGTCCTATCACAGTCCTGCAGATGGCTCGTCCTTCCTGAGATGGATGTTGGGAAGTGGTAGCGCTCTTGGTTGTCCTAGAGTTTTATCACTAATCACATCTGTAGATCACAATGACAGAGCCAGGTCAGCCTGACACTGAAGCCCCCTAGAGCGGAACTCCCTGTACTCTCTCCACACATGTGGCAGGGGATGGTGGGCTGCTGCCTCCTCTCTACAGGACTATTCTCAAAGAAGGCAGGCTGAGCCCGGGCCTGACGGGCTCAGGAGCCACATTCTTACATCTCTCGTCAGCCTCCTGCCTACTCTGACCTGCTCCTCTCATCAAAAGTTCAGCAGATGTAATGCAACCCTATTAAAATTCCAGTGATGTTCTTCATATAAATAGAAAAAGCAGTCACGAAATTCATTTGGGAAAATAAGAGGTCCAGAATAGCCAAAGCAATCCTTAGTGAGAAAAGTGAAGCAGCAGGCATCACAATACCTGACCTTAAATATACTCCAGAGCTATCATAACAGAACCACATGGTATTGACACCAAGACAGACATGAAGACCAATGAAAAAGACAGAAGACACAGAGACAAACACACATATGTACATTTGTCTCCTACTAGACAAAGGCATCATAAACATACATTTTAGAAAAATAGCCTTTTCATCAAATAATGCTGGGAATACTGGAAATCTATATGTAGCAGAATGAAGTTGAACCTCTATCTCTCATCCTGCACAAAATCCAACTCAAAGTGGATCAAGGACCTGGGTTTAGACCAGAAGGGTTTGCCCCTACTAGAAGAAAATGTAGGCCCAAATCTTCATCATATTGGCTTAGGAACCAACTTCCTCAATAAGATTCCTAAAGTGCAAGAAGTAAAATCAAGAATCAAATGGGATGATATCAAACTAAAAAGCTTTTTCACAGCAAAGGAGACAATCAAGAATGTAAAGAGAGAGCCCACAGAATGGGAGAAAATCTTACCATCTGCACCCCAGATAGAGCATTAATCTCCAGGATATATAAAGAACTCAAAAAACTTAACCCTGAAAAATGAAATAACCTGATTGATAAATGGGCAAAGGAACCGAACAATGACTTCATAGAAGAAGAAATACAAATGGTCAGCAAATATATAAGAAAATGTTCAACATCTCTAGCAAGTGGAGAAATGCAAATTAAAACCACACTGCAATTCTATTTCCCTCCAGTCAGAATGGCAATTATCAAGAATACTCAAACATTGCTGGTGGGACTGCAAATTGGTGCAATCACTCTGGAAAGTATTATGGAGATTCCTCAGAAAACTTGGAAGGGAACCACCATTTGACCCAGCTATCCCACTCCTCATTCTATACCCAAAGAACTTCAAATCAGCATACCACAGGGACACAGCCACATCAATGTTTGTAGCAGCTCAATTCATAATAGCTAAGCTATGGAACCAACCTAGGTGCCCTTCAACAGATGAGCTGATAAAGAAAATGTGGTGTATATACACAATGAAATATTTCTCAGCCATAAAAAAGAATGAAAGTATGGCATTTGCTGGTAAATGGATGGAACTTGAGACTCTCATGCTAAGTGAAATAACTCAATCCCCCAAACCAAAGGGTGAATGTTGTCTCTGATATGCTTATGCTAACACACAATAAGAGGTGGAGGGAGGAATACAAGTTCTTTGGATTAGACAAAGGGGAATGAAGGGAAGGGGGTGATGGGAATAGGAAAGAGTAGAATGAGTCGGATATAACTTTCCTGTGTTCATATATGAATACAAGACTGGTGTAACTCCACGTCATGTTCAACCAAAAGAATGGGAGCCTAATTAGAATAAGCTGTACTCCATATAGGTATAAACATGTCAAAATACTTCTATTGTCGTATATATCTAAAAAGAACAGATGGAATTTTTAAAAGTTCAGCTTTTAGAGTTGCAGCAGAGAAGCTGGCCCCCTTGCCAGTGTCTCTTTGAGCTACATCCTGAGCAGCAGCCTCCAGTCTGCTCTGAGGGTCTCTTGACAGGGAATCATTTCCACTTAAAAGAAGTGATTACCTGCTCTGTGATCCTGAGAAGGTACAGAAGGACCTGGAAGAGAAAAAGAGGGGAAAATAATGACATCTGGGGGAAAATGTTCATTCTCATCTACAAGTTAGAGAAGCAGAAAGCTTTTCCTGGAAATGTCAAGGACTTTAGTGTAAATCAAGAAGAGTTGGTGGTGCAACTCAAGAGTTGGTGAATGTCCTCCGGGGCCTGTGGCCGGCGAGAGCAGGTCACACTTTCTTGGTCAGGTCACATGCCTCCTGTCAAGAGATGGGGTCTAGTTTCCCTCCCTCGAACTGCCTGGGCTCTGGGACTGCTTTGACCAACAGAACATGGCAGAAGGGGTGGTGATGTGCCTTTAAGGGACTGGCGGCTTCTATTTCCTGTCTCAGAACACTGGCTTGCTCCTGTGGCCCCACACCATCTTTTTGTTTTTGGCACTGGGGATCGAATCTAGGCGTGTTTAACTACTGAGCCACATTTCCAGCCCGGGTGTGTGTGTGTGTGTGTGTGTATTTACTTTTTTTTTTTTTTAGAGATGGGGTCTCTGAGTTGCTCAGGGCCTCACTAAGTTGCTGAGGCTGGCTTTGAACTCGAGATCCTCCTGCCTCAGCCTCCTGAGCTGCTGGGATGACAAGCACTGTGCTTCGGGACCCAGCATGACACCAATTTTTAAGACCTCTGACTGCCCTGCAGGAGGGACCCTGTGAGGAGCCCCTGAGACCACGTGGACAGGAGCCCATCCTTCCAGCGGCCCACATCCAGGCACACCCAGCCTGGGAGTCAGCCACCAGAGAACACTGTGGAGTGACCCTGCTGGACGCCCAGTGGAGCAGGACCCCCCACTGACCCCAGCCCACATTCCCCGCCCACAACCCATGACCCGTATCTAAATGGTGGCTGCTTCAGCCTCTAAGCTTTGGGGCAGCAACTGGCAACCAGACGGCTCCTCTCACTGGCCTTGTTCTCCTTTCCCCACTATCCCTGCAATTTACCTGAATGAGAAAACTACATTCGAATACCAGGGCTCTCGCCCCTAACCGTGGCCCTGAGCTTTAGACAGCCCTCCTTCTCACTCACAGCCCCCCAGGTAGGGCTGGCCTTCCCCCAGAACACCCAGAGCACATCCAGGGCCCCTCCAGGCAGACGCAGGAAAGAAGCTTCTCCCAGGGCTTGTGGCTTCTCTGCAGCTGGGTGGGTGCGTCCAGGTGCATCCAGGTGCGTCGAAGGGCAAGGGACAGCCTACAAACACCCAGCGCTGCCTCTTTTCAATCAAGTTATCTTGGGCAGGCTTTGGGCTCTCCCTAATCCTCAACCCTAAGAATAAATAAAGTAATTTATCTGGAAACCTTTGCACCACACCTGTGTTGAACAGGTGCTGGGAAGTATTGTCACAATGAAAGGACACACCAGTGTCACGTCGGAATTCACTGTGCGTGTGTGGGTCTGCTGTTTTCTAATTTCTGGTTTTATCACAGATGGATATCATTCAATCATTAAGTCATAGAAGAGCTGTGAAAGCAGGAAAAAATCACACGATCCCCAAGAGCTTCAACTTTAGGGTCAGACTGGTCAGTGTCAAAATGTGGTTCTACCATTAACTTGCTGAGTGATCTTGAGAAAGTTACTCAACCTTTCTGTGTCTCACATTTCTCATCTGTAAAATAACATACAGTTCCTTTTTGCAGGAGTGCTTTGCTAATTTGCAATAATCTGATCAAAACATCCCCTATCTTGGCTCTAGTTTTGCCTGGTCTTTGTGTATCCAGGGCCAATGCATGGTATGGAGACTAAGATGGGTGGTCAAGGGCACTGATTACCCACAGGCCTACCCTGTGAACCTTGCTAATTTACTATGTCTTAGGCTGGGGATGTGGCTCAAGCGGTAGCGCACTCGCTTGGCATGCGTGCGGCCCGGGTTCGATCCTCAGCACCACATACAAATAAAGATGTTGTGTCCGCCGGAAACTAAAAAATAAATATTAAAAAATTCTCTCTCTCTCTCTCTTTAAAAAAAATTCACTATGTCTCAGTTTATATTGAAAATGTAAATAATTGAAGTACCTACCTCAAGGGGTTATTTGGAGCATGATATGAGTTACAGATAATCCCTGAATTATGAGGTTTCAACTTACAGTGTTCAGCCTTTCCAGCAGTGTGAAAACAGTACTCACTCAGTAGAGACTGGGCTTCAGATTGTGAATTTCGATCTTTCCCCAGGCTAGCAGTCACCAGTGGGTACCACCTTCTGCAGCAAGCTGCACTCCTAGTCCACCAGGCAGTCAGGGGAGTGCTCAGCCCTGTAGCTAAGCTCCGAGCTTGGCGGGTTAGGCTAGGAAGTGCCTCCTTCGACTTAGGATGTTTTCCAACTTGCAACGAGTTTATTGGGACCTAACTGCATCGTAAGTGGAGGAGCGTCTGTCTGTATGTGAAGGGCTCAGAACAACACCTGGCCCTTAAGTATTTGCTGCTCTGATTATTATTATTGCTGTTTTTATTATTATTGGAAAGTTGCCTGAATCAGGAAAAAATATGGACATACCTGGAGGTGTGGGCGGAGGCAGGTCTGCTGAATCTGCTGCACAAAGAAAGGTAATAGGTCACCTTCTTGAATGAGTCCACAGTGTGGAGGAGGTGGGGTGACAAGGGTGTCCTTAGTGGATGGAGGAGGAAGGAGCACGGCCTTTCAAGGAATATGAGCCCAGAATACTAGAGCTGTCCCCGGGCACCTTCAGCCCTCCTGTGGCAAGGTCTTTGGCCGGAGGACTGGGGCTCAGCAGCTGGGTCAACTCTGCCCCATGGCGGCCAGGCTGGGATTAACTTGGTCACTGTCTTGGGGGCAGGGCACTGGAGCCTGACCTGCACTGCCCAGGTGGGGCTGCTGCCCACTGTCACCTAAGACCTCCTCTGTGCGACCCTGGAGCCACCCACACAGGGGCATTGTCCGAGCCCAGTGCTGGCCTCAAGTGGGGCTCAGGGAATGGGCAGATAGAGGGATGGAAACTTCCATCCAGGAAGACAGCTTTAGAACGTCTTCAATCCACTACCAGAAGCATTTTCTTAGAGGGAGAGTTTGTACCTGAGCAGATGACACTGGCGTCCTCGTGGTGGTCACAGTTGTGCTCGGACCAGCCCAAGTGGGCGCACTGGCCCAGGTGGCGCTCCACTCCAGAGCACTGCAGGTTGTCCAGGAAGATGTCTCCTGAGCCTGGGCCAAAGTAGGCCCCGCCAGGGCCAGAAATGGCCTGTCCACACTCCAGCTGGCGGCACACGACCTCGGCTTCCTTCAGGTCCCACAGGTCATCGCACACGGTGCCCCAGGTCCCCTGGTGGAGGACCTCCACGCGTCCTGAGCACCGTCCGGAGCCGCCCACCAGCCGCAGCCCTGGCCATTCCCCTGCAGACAGAAATGTGGTGTGCAAGTCCCCTTAAAGCTCTGCCTGGGGTCCAGCAGCACTAGGCCCAGAGATGGGCTGGGAGGGGCACCCCTAGTCTCGAGCCTGGGGCTTTGTTCCTCACACGTCTCATGGTTCCTGAGCTGCAGGCCGTGAGGTCTCTATTAAATTTCCTCTCATTTCAACAGTATTTCCTGACTGCCTTCCCTGCGAGGTGGTGTGGTGCAGCCATAAACCTGAGGTAGGGTTCTGCCCTCAAGGATCCCACAGTCTATTTACCAGTGAAGCACAGACCCCAGCACCATGCACTATTCCACCCTGCGACAGGCATCAAGGGAAAGAATGGGGTGCTATGAAGAGTGACAGCGAGGTGGTGGCTGGGAGAAGGAGCCAGTCAGGGGAAGAGCTGGGGAAGGTCCTCGGAGCCAGTGGGACAAGCACGTGTAGAAAGACCAGGAGGTGGCTTCATTCTGCAGCTCCGAAGACAACTCACCTGGACTGTTCAACAGAGATTCTGCAGCATCTGTAGAGAGGAAAGATAAACACATCAGCATTTTGGGGGAATCCTGACTTCAATAACTGAGGATGAAGCTTTAATCATATCCTTCTACCTGTTTATTAATGCAACATGAGAAAGTTAGACCCAGTAAATAACGTAGTATTAGAAGAAACAGATTCATCTATAGACAAATGTAAGTTTCTGTGTGGCTTTGCTAGTGCTATGGGAAGACGACCAGGTGTGAAAGGTACATTTAGGATAAACTGACAAGCTGTTGCTTTTGTAGCAGATGAGTTTCGCTTTTGGGGTCTCTGGGGGCACCTCAGATGAGATACTCATCTTCTAGAACATTGAAATGTGGAGATAACAGGAGCCCACAATTCTATAACTAAGTTAGAGGGTGCTCCACACAGTTAGATGCCACAAACAGGTGAATAAACAACACATAGGACAATGCTTTTAAATGTGTGCCTTAGGTTAAAAGTCACGGGGTGTGGGCTGGGCACACAGTGGAGCTTCTGCTCACACGGGCCGCTCCATGGAGCGAGCACTGATTCGAGTTGGGATTCTGATTCTTTCAAGTCACATCAGGGATTATGGCTGTATTTTGTCCCATTGCAGAGAGGGCTATTAATAGTCACTCCAGAGGTGACTAATTTGCTTCCTACTAAAGGTTTGCACATGAGTAAATACAGGGTTTTCAAAAAAAAACTGTCACAAAGAAACTAAAATCGGTTGCTTCAGTACACAGATTTCCTCTGTTACAATTGAGTGGGGACATGGCAGGAAGAGGGGTCAAATGTGCAGCCTCTTTGCCAGCCGCTATGCCAGGGCTTTGTCAAAGACATCTCTGTTCCTGTGGGCAGTCCTGCAAGAAAGCAACTATTTTTTTTTTAATTTTTTTTTTTTTTTAGTTGTAGTTGGACACAACACCTTTATTTCACTTGTTTATTTTTGTATGTAGTGCTGAGGATCGAACCCAGGATCTCACACGTGTGAGGCAAGCGCTCTACCGCTGAGCCACAACCTCAGCCCCCTCAAAAGCAACTAATTTTATAGATGAAGAAGAAACAGAGGCTCAGAGGGTTTAAGGGCCACCCAAATACAGTCTGGGTGTTCACTCCGGCTCTGAGACCCAGCTCGGCCTCCCCAGCTCCACGGCCTCCTGTGGCCTCTTTGATTGAGCTCCTCTCAGAAGCCCTGGAAGGATCTCCACAGCACACATGCTGTGCCTTTCAGCGAAGCACACTTTCCTTTGCTCATGCTCACCACCAAGTGAGAAAATCAAAATGTTTGATTCTGGAGCCTGGTAGTTAAAACATTGTATAATTAGCCAAGTTGGAAGAGGAAGAGCCAAAATCAAATGCGGTGAGTTTTGAGGATCCTGTCTCTCTCCCTGACTGACTCTGAGTGCTGGCCGGTGGCGAGGTCTGGGAGCGCTCTGGTGCTGGCAGTGCCCATCTGAGAGAGAGAGGTTACCTGAGCAGATGACACTGGCGTCCTCGTGGTGGCCGCAGTTGTGCTCCAGCCAGCCCGAGTGGGCACACTGGCCCAGGTGACGCTCTACCCCGGCACATTGGAGGTTGTCCAGGAAGATGTCTCCTGAGCCTGGGCCAAAGTGGGCCTTCCCGAGGGCAGACATGGCCTGCCCACACTCCAGCTGGCGGCACACGACCTCGGCTTCATTCAGATCCCACAGGTCATCGCACACGGTGCCCCAGGCCCCCTGGTGGAGGACCTCCACGCGTCCTGAGCAGCGTCCAGAGCCGCCCACCAGCCGCAGCTCTGGCCCGTTCCCTGCGGATGAAGACCCACTGACTGCTGTCCTCTGGGAGTGGGGTGTCCTTCCATGACACCGTTGAGCTCCGCCCCTCACACCCGCATTAGAGACAGAGAACCTGGGAGCCGACAACTGGAGTTTGATTAGTCATGGGACTGCCAACAACTTTTAGCTTTAAAAAAATCCGTTAGCTAATTGTTTTGCCAGAGGTGTGTGCCAATCGGTTTTGGGTAAATGCAGAAAAACATTACAGATAGTTTGCATGAGGATTTGTGATTTTGTGAAGCACTTTCATGTGCGTGTTCACCTCTATCATAACTCCAGGTGACACTACAAGGGTACTGATGCACCTCAGGGATACCATGAGGAAGCTGGACGTTGGAGAATCCATAAGCAGCAGACCTATACTGAGGTCCCCGCCTCCAGGGTTCACCTTGGTTTCTCTGCCCCTCTATCTGCTGCCTCTGGATTGGCTCTGGCACTCCACTCACTCCAGAAAAGCCCATTTGTGGTGCCAACACGAGGCTGACCTTGATCAGGACTGGCACCAGGACAAAAAGACAATCCTGCTGGGAGGTATTTGCAAACTGATCGGGCTTTGAGGATACCGAGCCCCCGACCCCAAAACAAAAAAGAAAGAAAGAAAAGGAATCTGCTCATGGTGGGGTGCCAGAGCCAGACCTTAAGTCTGGAATGGCCCTGCAGCCTGTGCGGAGCCAGCTGGCTCATTTGCAGGTGGATGAACTGTGTGCAGTTGGCTTCGTTTCCCTACATGGGTCAGACACAGATGCACAGACCAACGCAGACTCCGAGAGGAGGGGACACGGTCAGGGGAGGGGGTGTGCTGGGCTTACCTGGTCTTGCCGTTCCTGACTTGGGTATTGATGTGGGGATGGCTGTGGATACAAGGAGACGCCCTTGAATTAAAAAGGAGGACTGGGGCAAGTCAAGAGGTGACATTCTGAGAGCAGTTATGTGCCCAGCTTCTGGCTGATTCTTTCTCTGCCTTCTGTAATGACCTTCCAAATCACTCGTTTCTCATGGGTCCTATTTCTCGTCTGCGTTTGGGCCAATTGAAACAGTATTCTCTTCTACCCAGTCGCTGAAAATGTACAATACTTCAAGTGGGCCATTCTGTGCTAAAATATCGACATTCACACCCAGTGTCCTTCTGGGGAAAACTGCTGTCCTTCTTGCTTGCTTCTGCTTGGTCAACTTTCCCTCGACATGGAGTATCTAATTAGGTGTGTTTCAACGTCTTTGATAGAAACAAGAGATTAGGAAATCAAATAGACAATTATGTTTATATAGGGACCTGATTACTGATAGGCACAACTTGTGAATAGGCAGACACCATGCAGACAGAATCTCTCCACCACCGTAGGTTTATACATGGAATTGGAAAACATGTTTGTAAAAGCCTTGGGAGGGAGGCTGAGCAAGAAATACAAAGTAGGCCTGTAGATTAGTAACAAAACAAAGAAGCACTCACTGATTAGATGTGGGGTCTGTAACACAGCCTCTGCAAATACAAGAGACATCATCAGGGCTGCTTGATGCCGATCCTGGTGATTTCCCTTGTTCCCTTTTTTGTTGCGGACCTTTTCTTTTGTTTTCCGGGTTTTTTCCCCGGGGGTTTCCCGAGTCACCCTGGCACTTGCGAGAGCCACTGGAGACTGTTCTGAGCCCCATCTTGGACAAGGTAGATGTGAGGCACTTGCAGTTCTATTGGCTTTGCCTGTTTCCTCTTGGCAGTAAGTAGTGCAGGACCTCAGATAATTATGGAACCCCGGAAACCTTGGTTCCCCCAAATGTAGAAGGGGATGAACCATGGTTTTATGTAAGGGTAACACGTGGCAGGGAATTTGAAATGTGCTGCATAAATATAATAGACAATAAGCACTAGCTATTACTTTGACTATTTGGATCTTTGTTGTTGTTACTGATTTGTTTTGCTGACTGGACTGGGCTGTGCTTCAGGAGAAACCCTTGGCTTGGCTTCTGCCCACCTTCCCGCACACCTCGAAAGCCCCGCCCCTGGGTGCACGCTGTTCTCTCTCCTCGTGTGCCTCTCCCCACTTCCTGCTCGCAGCCTTGTCAGTTTCAAAGCCGAATCCAAAGGAGGCTGGTTCCCTGGTTTTCATCACTATGCACAGCCTCTGCCCGTGCTGCTCTTTCTTGTTCCCAATATCTTTCTCCAAGATGCATGCATGTGTCGATTTAGTATGTTCTAGCACGTTCTCTCTGTTCTACGGGTTTGCCTTGGTCCACGGTATTCTATCTGTCCAGCTACATCATGTGTATTTGTCTTACTTCCTTGAGGTCGTGTTCAGCTTTCCTTAGGCTGAGATCACATCTTCTGCAGGTCCTAAAATGCCCACCTCAAACCAGATTCAGAGTAACGTCGGAGATGACTTCCCAAGGACCTGACGGTGGGAACGCGCCCAGGACAGAGCAGCCAGCCGCTGCATCCGGGATGTGCCGTCTCTCTGCTGAGCGCACTGCGCGTCACGACATGCGTAGCTCGCAACAGCCCTCACTCGGGAGTAAGGTCCTCCTGCTTTCCCCACAACAGAGCAGGAGTGCCGAGCCATCTGCCCAAAGTCACAGAGCAAGTGACGAGGGTCCCCAGGCAGTCAGTCCAGAGCTGTGGCTCCAGGCCACCCTTCTTACCTTTGTTTGCAGAATAATAATAAGCAGTGAAGTGTTTGCCTATGTTGTTGGAGCTTCGGAAGTACACAAGGGTCACCGAGCTGGAGGAGGACGTGTAGGTGAGGTGGGAGCCAGAGCAGCTCCTCCCCAGGGACTTTGCTGAAGCTGGGGGACCGTCCAGGATCTCCACATATTCATTGGTGCAGTCGAGGCTGGGGAGAGAGACAGCCACGGGGTGTCTCAGTCTCCTCCTCAGAAGGTCTGGAAGGTGGGGTATGAGACAAGCCTTGTGTGTGGCTACAGAGGCCGGGGACAAGTTCAAAGTCGTGTAGAGACGGAATGGGTCTTTTTAGGCTGCTTCTTCTCCCTGTGCCACTACCTGTAGGGAAGGGGATTGTAGCTGGGAGAGAAGGAGGAGCTGGCTCTAGATTACCCTGCTCAGGGCTGGGACAGCGGAGGCTGCGGGACCTCCCAGCTGGGAAGGGCAGGCCAAGGCTATCCAAGGTCATGCCACCACACAGCCACCTGGGGAGGGAGGGCCCAAGGTGCACAGGCTGCTCGGCTCCATGTGGGCCCGCAGTGGGAGCAGCTCCAGTTCCCAACAACCCATTTACAAACTTCTGGCAGCCAACCTGCTTAGAGGGAAGCAGGCCACAGTTCTACCCAGCTTGCTGTCTGGAAGTCATCTGATCTTGTCCAAAGCTGTTCTCTGTGAACTTCAGTCCAACTACCACCAGAGACCATTTCCAGGTCACCACCTGAGAGCCATCATTCCAAGCCATCCTTCCATCAGGCAAAATTCAGGAGTAATAAGTAATTTACATTGTTCCTAGGCTTCATTTCCATGGGCATTCATCTATGAAGGACATCAATCTTGCATATTTATGATTTTAAAACCTAAAATTCCCTGACTTAATAGGTGTAAGGTTTTCCTAGACTGCCTCTTTAGCCAGTTGGTTAGACACATACTCTGTCTTTCTTCTGTCTTTCTGTCTATCCCTATATCCCTTTCACACACAGTCACACACACACACACACACACACACACACACACACAATCTATCCAAAGATCATAGATGATTTTTATTTTAATTAAAGATTCATGGAAATACACAAAAATCAGTCATATTTCTACATATGAGCAAATGCCTGGAAACCCAAACTGAAAGCGGTATTGTTTACAATTGCTCCAACAACAACAAGAAAGAAAGATAGAAATGCCTAAATATGATCTAACAAGACTCATAAAAGATCTGCCTAAGCAAACAAACAAACAAACAACCCCAGCTAACCTTAAAAAAAATACCAGATGCTCCCTAGGATGTGGAGAAACAAGATCTCAGGTGTTGCTGGTGACATGTGACATGGAAGTTACTCTAGAAAACAGTTTAATATGTTCTAAGAATTTAAACATGTACACACTACACAGCCCAGCAATCACACTCTTGGGCATTAGTTATTTCCTCTAAAAGTAACTAATGTTTTCACAAAAACCTGTATGTGAATGTCCATAGAAGCTTTCTGTGTAATACCTAAAGATGGAAACAACGAAGATGTTCTTCAAGGAAGAGAGGATTAAAGAAACCTGCATGCATCTTCAGGAACTCTTCAGGGAACTGTGCTGAATGGAAAAGCCAACCCCAGTGCTACTGCAGGCTTCTATCATATAACATCCTCAACATGACCTACTGTAGAGGTGACAGATTGTCTTTAGGGGGCAGAAAGAGGGGCAGTTTGTGAATGCAAAGGGTGAAAAGATGGTTCCCTTGTGGTAATAGGGCAGTTTTATATCTGGAATATGGTGCTAGTTATGTGACACGGGATAAAAATGCATGCAACTACACACACACAGACACACACACACACACACACACACACACACACACTCACACGTACATGTAAGATTAGTGGGAATTGAATGAGATCTATAGTCCAGCACACAGTATCACAACCAACGCCAACTTCCTGGCTTCGACATTGTTCTACAGTTGTGCACGAGACGCCACCATGGGGGGAAGTTTGGTGAGGGGTCTGCAGGACTCAGCATTACTTTCCTATGCATCTGTGGCTATTTCAAAAGAAAAAAAATGCACAAAGGACACTTTTGCTTAAAATATCCATTAAGGAAAAAGGTAATTGGGATTTTTAGACTGCACAGTGAACCAAGGTAATGCACTCGGCACTCACTCGAGACACGGAAATGCCAGCCGTATACGGTGAGACGTGTTTGCTGTGATCTCCCACGTGCAGGTTATGTTGTCGTGCATTTCATACTTCGGAGGATTTCTAATGCTTCCAGATGAGTGACTAACAATGCCACCACACTGAGAATTTTCTAAAAAAAGAGAGAGATTTTAGAATTTCAGTTTATTTCATTGTTCAGTCAAGAAATTTTCTAATTCACACTCTCCCACACACTTTCCCAAAAAAGCTTTCATGGGTTATCATTTTGTGGTGTCTTAGAATAGAGAAGAGGTGTAAACCAGACTAAAAAGGCTTGCAAACTTGGGAAACTGGAGCATGAATGTGTCTGAAGCTAGAAACATCTTTTGTCTCTTTTGGGAATCCTATCATGGCCATGGGCTTGCTGGAAAGAGCTGGTGTCCTACATCGGCCCAACCCTTCCCCTTGGTTACTCCGTAGTCCTGGGCTATAACTTTGAATTTTGTCGCCCACCTGTGGTTATGAGTAAAGTTCTCCTTCAGTTTGGTCAATTAAGGCCAAGGCAATGTAGACTCTCGGTGGATCCGATGATGGCAGGACCCCATTACTGTCAGCCGTAATTTCTTAAAATTACATTCTTAAAAATCTATTATTTAATAAAAGAAGTTGCCCTGAGTTATCCACCCCTGCAATAGCCCTAATGCCGATATCATTTTCTGTCCCCCTGTCCACCCGTCTGTTGGGTTCTTCGTCTGCTTGTCTTATTTATCTGGCCATCCAACACTCAGTTCAGAGTTAAAGGTGACACCCTGAGAATGGAAACAGCTGGCTTTTCTCCTTCAGATTATCTGGACCTACACTCATCTAATTGTGCCCTGGTCATCTAACTGTGGCTCTTCTCTAGAAGGACCACCCACTTCTCCAACATGAGTATTTTAACTCTTTATCCCCAAGTAGTGCTAAGTACAGTGGAGCTTCTGGAACCCAAAGAACAGGCAAAACGGGGGGCGGGGGAATGGCAGATGAGAAAGAAAGTATAGAAAAGGAGGACAGAGGTTTTTCAGAGAAAGGGAAAGGGTGGAGAAGAAAACTGCCCATCATGGTGGACACTCTCTAAAAGCATGGCCCTGGGCAGCACCCCGGTGGCATCACTATGGTAACAGCTGCAGGTTTTCCCTCCATTCATGGCGGGCTTGCTGGAAGGCCGGCCATCAGGGCTGGCATCACTTGGTTGTTTGGATTTCCTTCTTTGACCGACGAGAAATGGAGTGAACCCTCATTCCACTGGCCATCATTATTAGGTTCTTAGAACACAGGTTCAGAAGTGGCACCTGGATAGTATCTGGGCACATTTTCCTTGAAGAATCATTTCAAAGATGGAGCTATAAGACATTGAACAGGGCTCCAGGGACACACGTTCTCACCTGTAGCCACTGTCTCTGCCAGCGTAGCCAACTGGTGACCTGTGAAACACAAAAAGGACACGTGAACCAGCATCTGATAGCCACACACTGTCTGCACACGACAATCCTGAGGAGCTGTAACACACCAACTGTCTCCGCTCCTCCCAGAACCACTGAACGAGTCTCTGGGGGAGGCCTGAGTGTGCACCTTTAATGTGCAAGAGGCAAGAGGCACTGATCTGAATTCTTCCCAGACTTTGATGCATAATTCTTTCCTCAAACGTGAAAATGAGATGTTTTATAATAGAAGGATTTGGGAAAACTAAAGACTTAAAATACTGGCCCCTAGGCCTCTTCTGGTGACCCAAAGGCCGGGAGTTATGAGCTTATGCTGTGGGAAGAGGAAGGAGCAGAGGTGGATGCCTTGACCCAGTGCTTCTCAGAGGTGCTGAGTCAGGACCCAAAGAAAGTGTGGGCTCTCCTCCAGGTCCCCAATATCTCCCCACCAGACACACTCAGCTCAACACCTCCCTGGATTCTCTTCGTGGATCACTTTATTTCCACCTGGTAGAGCTGACTGCACAGGAGGGGTGTGAGTGCTTACCAGACCTTATCAAACCATGTTCACTTAACTCTGACTGAGAGGTGACTGCCAGTAGAGGAACCCTGGGAGAGGAACGGAGAATGGGCATGGGAAACTGGGTGTCGAGGCCGAGAGTGTGCGGGGAGCCAGCAGCTCTGGGGTGGGGGCAGAGATGCACCAGGAACAAGGCAGAGGCAAGAGGGGTGGAACTGAGACTGGCTCAGCTTGGCTTTCCCCAGATGGGTCCCGGTGGCCATTCACCCCTGGGCAGGGAGTATCCTTAGCCATCACCCGTATCCTCACCACCTCCCACCCAATTATAGCTATTGCACCTATGTAAAACCTCAGAACAGAAGCACCCACAGTGCTCTACAGAAGTCAGAGATCTTGAGAAATCCATCTCCTGAATGTGAAATTCATGGTGAGCAAATAGAGAGGTAGCCAGGGAGGCGCGGCTAGGTGACTGCTGAGGTATATCCACCTCTCCCCTGGACAGTCAGGTCCTTCCACGTCTCTCAGCCCCCTCCACGGGCTTAGAGGACAAGACCTCTAGTTTCCAGTGGAACCTGTTCTCCAGGGTGCTGATGAGCTGCCCACTTGAACAGCACCCCCCTTACCTGGTGGTGAGACCGTTGAGTGTTCAGCATCTGCAGGCAGGGGAGAGGACGACATCTGGCGTGAGCGAATGACACGGGTCCAAGTCCAACTGTACAAAGCATGCTCTGGGAAAGAGCCGGGCTGGGCCCCACCTGGAGGGGCACGGGTTACCTGAACAGATCACGCTGGCGTCTTCCCGGTGACCACAGTTGTGGGAGAACCAGCCGGCATGGGAACATGCCCCCAGGTGCCCCTCGTGTCCCCCGCAGTGCACATCGTCAAGGAGGATCTTCCCAGAACCTTCCCCAAAGTGGGCCTCGCCCGGGGCTGAGATGGCCCGGCCACACTTGAGCTGCCTGCAGACGATGTTTGCTTCTGAAAGGTCCCAGAGGTCATCGCACACTGTCCCCCAGACTCCTTGGTAGAAAACCTCCACACGGCCGGCACACCTCTCAGGGGTGCCTACCAGCCGCACAGGTGCCCAGCCTCCTGGGGAAGGACAAAGGCTCAAGTAGTGAGAGCTGCCCCCAGCTCACTGGTGACAGGACTATTGTCGACATGACAGACTCTCGGTCCTAATCTTCCTTGGGCTGCTCTGAGTGAGTCCATGCCGCTCACCAGACACGTGGGCTCCGGCCTGTGACATCCCTTATCTGCACCCTACTTTAGGACCGCTTGCCTGTGGGGATTACTTCTAGAAGCGGGTCCAGTTCTTCTCTTCCCTGTATCCTCACTCTTGACAATGAGCCGCGTGACCTCTCCCATTTGGAATTTGGGCTCTTTCTTCACTCCTTGACACCGGGCTGGGGGCCTTTGGTTCACCTTGGCCAAGGGAGAGTGGACAAGTGCCCTTGTGCTTAGAGGGCATGAGAGGCCTCCCAGGCTGCAGCTCACCCTCTGGGCACTCGGGAGCACCATGTGAATAAGCTTGAGCTATCCCGCTGAGTGATGAAGGACATGCAACTTTGTCACCTCTGTCACTTCAGGTGACAACTACAGAATTCCCAGACATGTGAGGGAGCCCATCCTGGGACAGATAGTCTTTGACCACAGATGCATGAGCAAATCCAGCCAAGTTCATCTGAACCTATCCTGAATCCACAGACTGCCCAGCTGACTACTTGTGAGCAATTATCAATGGAGGTTGTTTTAAGCCACAGTGTTCTGGGATGGTTTCACGTGGCAATAGATAACTTACACACCTCTTTGTCCATATTCTCTTTTTGGATAACCTGCACCTTCCATAGTCAGGATGAGACAGGGCCAAAGCCATAATCCCCAGGGGGAGTCTGCCTGATCTGATGTGGAGTGCACATCTGACCCCAGGGAACCCAGTCCAGGTGCTGGACTGTGCAGGGTCTCTGTGCTGGGTATCTGGAATTGGGAAGAGAGCTGGAGGACTCAGGGGATGACGCTTCCGTTGGGGGCAACCATGATAGTCATACATGAGCAGATAAGTGAACAGAAAAACTGCTCAAAATGACTCACGAGGGGGACAGAGGAAGAAGGGAGGTCCAGAGAGTGGGGGGATGACTCTGTGGTTTGTACCCCCGGGGCTGGGCTCTCCAAGACCCATCTATATCCCACCATATACTCCCTTCAATTAGTCTTTCTTGAATGGGGATTTGTACCATGAAACCAAATGCTCATCCATTAGCAAATGCCCCCCAATTCCGTTTACTTGGCTTAAAGTACCCATTCCTGCCCACTGAAATCCCCCCGTCCTTCGGATTCCATCCCCAGTGGCTCCATTTGATGATCACCCAGACCAGGACTGACATTTTTGATTCTCAGCCACTTGCTGTGGTTCTCCTGGGACTGGCCACTCTGTCATGTGTAGAGCCAACAATGCACACATGTTCTCTCCCTGAGCAGGTGATAACCGGGAGGTTGAGTGGACAGAGACGTGGATGTCGGGTCAGCCCAGCATCCCTGACTAGCTCTGTGGCCTGGAGGAGAAGGGGAATTACAAGCTGTCATGAGGCGGAAGAGAGGAAGCGCACTTGGAAGAGGGCTTGTCAAGGCTTGGTCTTGCTTGGTAGGTGGACGGGGATGCCGAGAGGGGTCCAGATCTCACATGTCTGGGGTGAGATGGGTGTGAAAACAGTGGGTGTGGTCATGAGTGTTGTAGAAGTGTGTGCAGAAAGCACTCCACAGGGGTCACAGAACAGCACCAGCCATGCTCTGAGGATGCAGGAGGACTATGGCAGGGCCTCTCACAGACCACCTCCCTCCACATGTTAGTTGAGCTATAGTTTTCTGTGTACAAGACTTGTCTCCTTACTAAATGACATGCTCCCGGAGAACAGAGACTGTGGGAGTCACTCACACATTATCCAAAGCAGGACCTGGTCCAGTGCATGGTGGGCACGCAGGGTGGAAAGTCAATAAACGAATGGGGGGGGGAGATGGAATGTGAATTCAAAGACTTGAAAGTCACAAAACCATCCACGGCGCCGTTGCCATCTTCTCAAGGCCATGGTCAGCAGGCCTGCTGGGCACTATCTCACCCAGAATACTTTCAGTCCAGGACGGTGGTGGTGGCGGCTCTTCTCAGTCCTCCCAAATCTTTTGGCAGTACCAACAGATCAAGGGAGTAATCAGGTTGAATATTTCACTCCTGTCTTATCTAGCCTCGGGATGAACCTCGCTTATAAAAATCCAAGGCCCAACTCAATCTGAATTCCTCTGAATACTACCTGTCCCTCACCACATTAAAAACAAACAAAAACATCTCAGAGGGCCTGAGCCTCCTCCCTTGTCAGTGACTGTGTGGTCATTGGCTGCTCTAAGTCCTGCTCTGGAAAGTAGCCGTCTCCTGCTCCATGGCCCATGGGGACTCCGTCTGGGACTTTCCTGTATGGCACGGTCCCACTGCCCTCTCACCCTCCAGGCCCCGCATGAGGTACCGTGTCCTGCCTGACCCTCAGGTCTGGATGGTGACCCTCTCCAGGCACCCCAACACCCCATCACAGCGTCCACGACTCCACGGTACCACCCCACCCCCTCAGCCCACACCAGGGTCTCCTTCGTTCAAAGCTCTCCAGGTCCCCTGTGACATGCGTCCACTCATCCCTTCATTGTCAAAGGCCGAGACACAGAACCACACAGCCCTACCTGCCGGTGCAGAGGAAGGTGGCCGCTGAGTTGCTGGCATCCCTGAAGAGGTGGGCAGCAGGTTCTCATGGGCTAGGGATGGGGAAGGAAGGACAGTCGTGAGAGCAGGGTTGTATCACGGGAGAAGAGACGGTTTCTCCAAGGGGGAGCCCGCCTCCTGCCGGGACTCGGTAGGAAAAAAGATGCCACAGGGTTCCGAGGCCAGGGACCCCATGGACCCAAGGTCTCTCCCGAGGGTAGGCCAGGGCACGGCTGCTGAGAGAGCAAACTCATGGGAACTGTTCCCACGTGACCTGCGGCAGGACAGGCCACCAGCTGTCCACGTCTCCCTTTGCTGCCTTCTGCCCACGTCTGCTGCCCTCTGACCTCCCTGAAGGAGGCAAGGATGTCAGTCACACAGCAGATCTGTCAGGGAAGGGGGTCAGCTCTGAAATGGCACCTGGAAATCTTACCATGGAGGTAGGTCACACACCGTCACCACAATTCACCGCGAGGAAGCCCTGTGTCCCGTGGAGAGAGGCCGCTTGGGACTGACTGGGGGCAACCTGTGGAGCTGATAGTTTGCAGAGAAACTACTGCAGGAGCAAGAGGGACAGAAACAGGAAAGACTGGGAAGCGCAGTGAGGTAGAGAGCCAGCTAGAGGGACAGATGGCCTTGGGAAGGTCAGTAGGCTCAGAATGGGGAGGGCCTTGCGCATCAGCTGACAAATTTGGCCTGTCACCCAGAGGTCACAAACTGTGAAGTCTGTGGGCCCATACAGATAAGTATGAGGTCCGAGTAAAGGGACCAGGTGAATGGAGAGTGGTTCTGGGTCCAGAGGGGCAGCCGTCTCGGACCTGGCCAGTTGGTACAATAAAAGAACTTGCTATTTTGTGCCTTCGCTACTTTCATTTCTTTCACTAGATTAAGAATTTTTATTGTTGTTGTGATGAATATTGTGATTTTTAGATTCAAGTTTAGCCTGAATGTTCAAACTAGACAGCCCACTTCTGGGCCTGGATCAGTCTTCGAGCTGGACTTGGCCCTCTGGGCAGTCAAGGGGCTGGTTAGGCTGATGCCAAACATGGACAAGACATAGGCAGCTTTGGTGACCTACCTAGATCTGCTGTGTTCCTGGACTGAACTGTGGCACGTGTGTGTCTGTGTGTGTGTGGGCGGGGAGGTGAGTGTGTGTGTGTGCATGTGTGTGGGGGGAGTGCAGGAGGCGAGGACTGGAGGGGAAGCTAGGGTCCCCTCCAATGCTGACAGCCAGCCCCTCACCTGCACCCTCCAGCTGCCCCCAGTTGTGCCCACCCTGGCCCCTGTGCCATGCTGCCCCAGGTGGCTCTTGCTGCCCACATCCTGCATGCCATCCTGCTGGATCTTCCCAGAGTCTGCCCCAAAGTGGGCCCCCATGAGAGCTGCTCCCACCTGGCCACACTGCAGCTGGCGGCACATGACAGTGGCCTCAGCCAGGTCCTAGAGGTCACCACACACTGTCCCCCATGTGCCCTGAATGAGGCTTCCATGCAGCCTGAGCCCCTCCTGGGGCAGGGAGCACAAAGAGGAGGGACACTGGGTGTCATGCCTCCAGTCTCTGGAAGGTTTTTTCCCTTTAAATCCCCAGGTGGCCTTGTCCTCCTTTCACACACATGTAAGATCCCATGGTTCTCATGCACCCACACACGAGCAATAGCCAGAATCATCTCCAACTTCATGTGAAAATTGGGCTTTGCTACTTCCTCTCTTCCAAAAGATGAACGCCTCTTTAAGGAACTTCTAAAACTCCCAACAGGAACATGTCATTCGTATATGATCCCCCAGCTGTGGACGGGGATAGACATGAGAGATGTCAACATATCCAGTGAAATATCACCTAGCCCGTCCACCAGCAGGTCACATAGACACCTCCTCAGTCACAAGTACATTGTCCTGGAGCAAAGAGGCCCCTTTGTCTCATAAAAATCTTTTTGTGTGGCTATATTGTGGCATTTGTTGTTTGTGAGTGAAAAGCAGGAGTCCCCAAGAACCACTAACTTACATGTTTCTCTCTTAATTCTTACAACAGGCGTGGGCTTCCCATTTTGCAGACAAAGAAACTGAGACTTGACAGGGTTGAGAAACTTGTCCTCAATCCCACAGCTTATGAGCGGGTTGTTTTCCACTTGTGGGTCCTCCTCTCTCAACGCCATCCTCAGCCCTTCATTTCTCAGGACCTACTCTCCAGCCCGGCAGGTGGAGGAGTTGAAGCCTCGGGGGCTGTGGTCACTGACGGCCCTGAGAGAAGGTCAAGGAAAAGCCACAGCTCACGTAAACCACTGTCAGCTGCGTGCAGAGAATGAAGTGAACACTCTGCAGAACGGGCTCAACCTGAGACCCAATCCCGTCTCCAACTTGTGGCTTTGTCTTCTTTTGACTCATCTAAGTCAGTCACTATGGTCCCCACTGAACAAGATTAACTTTTTGTTCACCCATTATGTGTTCATGGTCAGCTTTGAAAAATACAAGATGAATCTAAAGCTCTCACACTTACAAAACCCAAGAGAATCAAAGCGGCCTCAGTAAGCCGCCGGGCCATCATTGACTGAAGGCAAGACGGAGAGCCTGCTCCGAGGAGGCCGTAACTCCTCTCGTCCGAAGCTAGAACAGACGTCAAAGGCCTGTAATGTCAGGGGGATTTCCAGGCGGGTCAGTGAGGAGGGTCCAAACGCAGAGGATGAGTGTCCTTATGGAGACCAGAGCAAGAAGCCACACGCAGAAATGGGCACGGAGGCCATGGAAGGACTTCAGCAGGTGGAAGGGAAAGAAAGGCCTCCCTGCGGGCAGCTGGGAGTCACAGGTCGGCCACCAATTTTGGATACTAAGAAGCTAAGGGTGTATGCACTTAATATGACGAGAACACCTTGGTGGCCTAGGCATTAACTCCAAACACCTGGATTCCAGCATTTTTTTTTCTTACATCATGCAGAAGACTTCCAGAGGGATGATGCAGGAAGACAGTGGAGTTTTGGGTCACCTGTCTTCACAAGCATGGCATCCTGTGACTGAATGTTCGTGGGGACTTCTAAGGGCTAATTGTATGTTAGAGACTCCTTGACATCTGGGAGGAAGCAAGCCCATTTCCTGTGTGAATGCAGTGTTTCCTACCCTCACAAGGACCTGAGAACCCATGTGTGTGAGTGAGGGTGCGTGTGTGTGGGTGTGTGCACCACTGGCCTGAACTCCCTGCTGAGCTGGAGTTACTAGAAGCACATTTCTCAGAAACACCTTTATTTCACTATCTCAGGAACTTGGCAAGGAATATTTCTAGAAAAACACAGTCTCTTATGATTTTTAATAAATACACAGGATATAGGATTCAATGTAAACCCCAAGGATGCATTTTTAATGTACCTGTTGGTGTTTGCTCTTCCGCAGAAGTGATGGATTCGATTGCTATGTCCACAGCTACAGAGAGCAGAGAACACCAATCAGTAATGAAGCGCACCCAAGAACAGGCCGAGGCTGAGCAAAGGGAAGGATGGATGCCCCAGGCCAGCGTCATGGTTTCCTTGTGGAAATCTAACATGAGAAACTGGCTCTAAGGAGCCTACGGAGCTTCAAGTCCAAAGATATGACTTTCAACCTGAGGTCTAAGTCCTATTCCATCATACTACAGACAGACTTCAGCTTCCTGATCTGTAAAATTGGGGATCAGATGAGCTAATGGATAGGAAAGAGGTTCATAAATCAAAAATTAATATCCCTAATTCAAGCAATACTTTTGGAAAAAATATTTTTGGAAAAAGTATCCCTCCCCGCCCCGCCCCCCGCATTTTTTTTTTTTTTTTTTTTTTTTTGGTTTCAGGATTGAACCCAGGGGAGCTTAACCACGGAGCCACATTCCCACCCTTTTTATGTTTTATTTTGAGACAGGGTCTTGCTAAGTTGCTTAGTGCCTCCCTAAATTGCTGAGGCTGCCCTCCAACTTGTGATCCTCCTGCCTCAGCCTCCCAACAGCTGGGATTACAGGTGGGTGCCATGATGCCTGGCATTTTTTTTTAAGGATAAAAGATTTGGTCACTTCAGCAAAGAGATAAGAATAGGCAAATGAAAAAATCCTCCATATCACTCATCTTTAGAGAAATACAACCAAAAATCACAAAAGTGTATCACTATTAGCTCATTATAGTAGAGATACCATAATAGCCCATCTTAAAAAACAGATAATCCTAAATGTTGACAAGAATGTAGAGAAAATGGAGAAAATGTAACTTTCTTATGTTGCTATTGGAAGTACAAAATGGCACGGCTACTTTGGAAAACAGCTTGCAGGCTGTATGTGAATACTTATGATAGCTGTATTCATAATAGTAAAAATTAGAAATAATTTCAATGTCCATCAGATGATGCATGGAGAAACAAATTTTGATATATCCATAGTTAGCAATAAAAAAAAGAACAAATGTCTGATAGGTGGAATTACATGGATGACTCTCATAAGCATTAGGCCAAATAAAAATATCCCAGGGCAGGGCTGGGGTTGTGGCTCAGTGGGAGAGCATTTGCATAGCATGTGTGAGGCACCGCGCTGGATTCTCAGCACCACATATAAATAAATAAACTAAAGGTCCATTGACAACTAAAAAAAAAAGAAAGAAAAAAAAAGTTTCAGCGCAGAATGTTCTGGGGGTGTTAGGCACGATTCCAGGAAAGGCAAACCTAGAGAGCCAGATGTCTTACTGGTGTTGTCAGGGTTGGGGCTCAGGCGACATTTACTACAAAGGAGCAAAGGGACCTCTGTAAGGCAGTGGAAGGGCTCTATGTCCTGATGGCGGCAACAGCTTCACAGTTGTGATGGTTACGATGCTTTGAACTACATGGTAGTTTTTACTGTAGGTAAATTGTACTTCAGTAAGCCTGACTTTCAAGTAAAAGTCAACTCTGCACATAAACAAAGGCTTAGAACATTGGGGACACACAGGCACAGAGACCAGGTAGACATCTGTGGTCATTCAGAAAGAAAGGGGAGATGAAAGCTGGGTCAGGTGGGTGACTGTCAGGGGGAGAGGACTGTCAGGTGGAGAGGACAGCGATGGTGAAGCTGAGGATGATATTTTCCATTTATACCCGGGTCCCCAGCTATAAATGGAAAATAAATTCCTCCACAGAGACCTATTTGAATAGGACTAGATATCCAGAGGGTTGAAGGTATTTTATTTTTTAAAAATATGTTTTAGTGTTGACGGATCTGTATTTTATTCATTTATTTATGTGCGGTGCTGAGAATTGAACCCAGTGCTTCACCCATGTGAGGCAAGCGTTCTGCCGCTGAGCCACAGCCCAGCCCCTGAAGGTATTTTAATAATTTACTTAAATATTCCTGTTTGGACGTGAAGCTCTGTATATAAATAATAAACATGTAAACAATTAAAACGTAATAAGTTCATGTATGTGAAACACATAAACTGAAGACCACTAGGGAAGCGACTCACAAAGTGTGACTTACTATGAAGACTGGAGTCTGATGATAACGGGGCTGGTGAAGGTGCCGGTGATGGTGATGAGGACAGCGATGGCATCGAAGATGGAGGCGAAGACGAGGCTGGTGACCGCGGCGGTGAGGACAGCGATGGTGAAGCTGAGGATGATGATGGTGAAGATGAGGAGGAAGGTGATGATGAAGGTGAAGACAAGGACAAGGACCGTGGCAGTGAGGACAGCGATGGTGAAGCTGAGGAGGGGGGCAAGGATGAAGGGGAAGCTGAGGACGATGATGGTGAAGATGAGGAGGAAGGTGGTGATGAAGGTGAAGACAAGGACAAGGACTGTGGCAGTGAGGACAGTGATGGTGAAGCTGAGGAGGGGGGCAAGGATGAAGGGGAAGCTGAGGACGATGACTGTGGAGCTGAGGACCATGATGGTAAAGATGAGGAGGAGGGCGGTGATGAAGGGGAAGATGAGGATGATGACCGTGGTGGAGAGGACAGTGATGATGAAGCTGAGGACGATGACGGTGGAGGTGAGGACCATGATGGTGAAGATGAGGAGGAGGGCGGTGATGAAGGTGAAGACGAGGATGATGTCTGTGGTGGTGAAGATGAGGAGGAGGGTGATGATGAAGGGGAAGATGAGGACGGTGACCGTGGTGGTGAGGACAATAATCGTGAAGTTGAGGACGATGACTGTGGAGGAGAGAACAGCGACGGTGAAGCTGAGGACGATGACCGTGGCGAGGAGGACAATGATAATGAAGACAAGGAGGGCAACGATGAAGGTGAAGACCAGGAC